AATTGAAAGAGACGTGTGTTTTCACAGTTGCATGGTGTATCTTTGAGGAATAAGAATCTCCTCAACTCGTGGAAGCTAAAAGTCATCATTCCAGTACTTTTCAAATTAAAAGCTTTTAGTACATTTATTTGTTTCTTTCCAAGTGGTGACACACTTTTTAGATAGTCATGAGGTGTGCTCAATTTACAACTAAAATAAATAAATTAGTGAAGGTCTAAACATAAATAATGTTAAAAGGTGTATTTGTACATCAGCAGCCTGCTGGAGATGTGTTTACTGCACGTGGCCCCTGGGCTGCACTTTGGATGTGTCAGGTCTAAAAGGAAACTGGAAACAAAAATGAAAAGAATATTTTGAGAACTCCAGTGTGAATTATAGTGGATGATGCAGTCCCTTAAATATTTGTTCTGTCTAGCCACTGGAAATTTTAAAAATTAAATTAATGCTACTGGGCATTATTTGTTGTTTTAAATTATGAGTCCATCAGTTATGTTGATAAAACTTTATTCTTATTCATTTAAATAAAAATCTTCCATGCATCGACCATGACCAGGAGGATTGTTTTAGGACTGAAAAGTGGAAAATTTGTGTAAATAAAGTTGCAGAAGTTTAACAATGTTTACATCAGAGTCTGAACTTAGATTTTCACACAGAGCAGTTTACATCCAGGTGAAGGTAGATTTATTTAAATGAATGACTTGAGTGCACAAATTAGATGTTTTATCTACACACATTCCTTTTTATCTTTCTTTCTTTTTTCTAAAAACAAAAATGTCAACAAAACAGACATGTGGCTGATTCAGTCCTGGCATTAAATGTCTTATCAAAATTTAAGTCTATTACATATAATCATAAATATACACATTTATACATAAATGCCTATGCATGCGCACGCAAGCACACACACATCTTGATATGCAGACACGCTACACATATATCTACCTACAGATAGTAAAAACATTATCTCACGCCACCTAACACATCCAATATGTAATATAAATACAGATTATAAGTGATTTCATACATTTGGTATTAAGCAGTTATGTGTTTATTCTTTTAAAATTCGTCACAACTGCCTCGTTATGGGTTGTTCCTGGGGTTCTTACTCTTTAGCGACCCCTGCTGGAAGTCAGTAAGTAAAGGTTTCACCGTTTAGTTGTAAAAAGATTTAAACTCTTAAAAACGTGTGTTTACTTTATTAGGACTTAATAAGCCCTCTCTGTGGTGAGGTGAGTAGCGCTGAAGAGCGATTCCCAGCATGCTGTGCTCTCTAAAAGACCAGTTTGTTGTTCGGGGAAGGATTTAAACTCTCCTGAATTACCCATTACACCAATGACCATCACGCACGTGACGCTGCCCTGTGGCACTGTCTCACCCAAGTGAACTCCTTAGAAAGACCCGGCACTGGCAAGAATGACAGCCGTTGCTGTGGAAACAAAACAGCTGCTGCAATCTTCCAATTATGAGCACAGGAAGTCCTAGAAGACGGCAGGAGCGGCAGCGGCGCGTTGACGTCACCCACATGCGGTACGGCACGCACTGCGTAACCGAGTGGATTACGGTTTTGTGCCTGGACCGTGACAACGGAGCAGCAGAGAAGGAGCTGTGAATAAATGACGAACCTGCTGTTTCTGCAGATCCCACTCAGCTTTTAACACGATTCAGTCCCTGAAGGCTGCTCGTTACACAATCCAGATTTAGGAAGCCATCACTCCTCAGAAGAGACAGCACCGAGCTAGAAAATATCAGAGGATTTAATCTCATTTATTTATTTTGTTATTTTTAGCTCTTTTGTTTTCTAACTCTTTAAAATGATTTATCTGACCATTTGAGCCTTATCTCACCCATAAGGATGTTGGAGCTTATGATTTAAAAGAAAAGTGTCCCATCACAATATAAATGTTATGGCTTCACAACACTTTACTTATCTACGCACAAAATGTATTTGGTCTAATGGTGGCTGCAGAGGACTGCACAATGATGTAGTTCTTAGCACTTTTGTCTTGCAGCAAGAAGGTCTTGGGTTCGAATCCTGGCTTGGGGTCCTTCTGCATGGAGTTAGCATACTTCTCATGTGCACGCGTCACGCATGGGTTCTCTTCGGGTACCCCAGCTTCCTCCCACAATCCAAAAACTTGAATGTCAGGTAAACTGACCTGTTTAAAAGTGTTCTTAGGTGAGAGTGTGTTTACATGGTTGGTTGTCCTGTGTGTCTCTGTGTTAGCCTGCGATGGACTGGTAAGGTACCCCACCAGTTTGCCCGAAGATTGTTGGAGATCGGCACCAGCCCCCCACGACCTTGCGTGGACAAGTAGGTACAGATGATGGATGGATGGATGGATGGATGGATGGATACAGAGATTCAGTGTCATCCTGCTCACTAGATCAAAGTAAACAAACAATATAAATGTTGCTACAAGATGCAGTCACATATAAAAATGTGTATTTTGTTGTTTCTAGTTAATTGTTGTGGCTAATTTCCTTGAAATGTGGTCGTATACATTTATGGCTATATGTTTTTTGTTTCACTTTTTTCTATTCACACCAAAACAGTCAGATTGTCTTAAAACATAAAAATTATTCATTTTGAAATAATTATGAACAGTTTTTTAATGATTCTTTGATGAACTTATAGTTGTTTTTATTTTATGGCATGGATGTTTATTTGTGTTTGAAAATACATTTAAAGTATTTTTCAGCACATTTTGTTGATTTTTTTGTTAGGAACACTTTTTAAATGTTTTATCACAACTCCCTTTAACTCCTTTTTCTTTTGAACCTAAAGATTTAGCACTTAGGATCTTTGGGAAAGCATTGATCTTAAGAACATTTTAGTTTTTATAAATTAGGGATGCACCGATACTGGTATCAGGCCGATACAATACCAATACCAGTATTGGTATTGGTAAAATTTTACCGATGCCAGGAACCGATACCTATGCAGTTGCCTGAAAGTGGCTTTAATGTAACTTTGTCATTTCTGTTCACCTAAACTTTTTTGTGATCATTTCTATTAATATATTTTATTTTTTATCTACCTCACAGTATTTACCTGTTGAAAGCAGAGAAGAAAATAAAACCCGTATTCCAATTCATTGCATTTTTGTGTGGTAGAAGTATCGGTATCTGTAATCGGTATCGGCGAGTACTCACAGTGGTGTGAAAAACTGTTTGCCCCCTTCCTGGTTTCTTATTCTTTTGCATGTTTGTCACACAAAATGTTTCTGATCATTGAACACATTTAACCATTAGTCAAAGACAACACAAGTAAACACAAAATGCACTTTTGAAATGATGGTTTTTATTATTTAGGGAGAGAACAAAATTCAAACCTATATTGCCCTGTGTGAAAAAGTAATTGCCCCCTTGTTAAAAAATAACCCAACTGTGGTGTTTCACACGTGAGTTCAATTTCTGTAGCCACCCCCGAGCCTGATTACTGCCACACCTGTTTCAATCAAGAAAGCACTTAAATATGAGCTGCCTGACACAGAGAAGTAGACCAAAAGCACCTCAAAAGCTAGACATCATGCCAAGATCGAAAGAAATTCAAGAACAAATGAGAACAAAAGTGACTGAGATCTATCAGTCTGGTAAAGGTTATAAAGCCATTTCTAAAGCTTTGGGACTCCAGCGAACCACAGTGAGAGCCATTATCCACAAATGGCAACAACATGGAACAGTGGTCAACCTTCCCAGGAGTCGGTGGCCAACCAAAATTACCCCAAGAGCGCAGAGACAACTCATCCGAGAGGTCACAAAAGACCCCAGGACACTTCTAAAGAGCTGCAGGCCTCACTTGCCTCAATTAAGGTCAGTGTTCACGACTCCACCATAAGAAAGAGACTGGGCAAAAATGGCCTGCATGGCAGATTTCCAAGACGCAAACCACTGTTAAGCAAAAAGAACATTAGGGCTCGTCTCAATTTTGCTAAGAAACATCTCAATGATTGCCAAGACTTGTGGGAAAATACCTTGTGGACTGATGAGAAAAGTTGAACTTTTTGGAAGGCAAAGGTCCCGTTACATCTGGCGTAGAAGTAAAATATGGTGGTGGTAGTGTGATGGTCTGGGGTTGTTTTGCTGTTTCAGGAACTGGAAGGCTTGCTGTGATAAATGGAACCATGAATTCTACTGTCTACCAAAACATCCTGAAGAGAACGTCCGGCCATCTGTTCGTCAACTAAAGCTGAAGCGATCTTGGGTGCTGCAGCAGGACAATGACCCAAAACACACCAGCAACTCCACCTCTGCATGGCTGAAGAACAACAAAATTGAAGACTTTGGAGTGGCCTATTCAAAGTCCTGACCTGAATCCTATTGAGATGCTATGGCATGACCTTAAAAAGGTGGTTCAAGCTAGAAAACCCTCAAATAAAGCTGAATTACAACAATTCTGCAAAGATGAGTGGGCCAAAATTCCTCCAGAGTGCTGTAAAAGACTCGTAGCAAGTTATCGCAAATGCTTGATTGCAGTTATTGCTGCTAAGGGAGGCCCAGCCAGTTATTAGGTTCAGGGGCAATTACTTTTTCACACAGGGCAATGTAGGTTTGGATTTTGTTCTCTCACTAAATAATAAAAACCATCATTTCAAAACTGCATTTTGTGTTTACTTGTGTTATCTTTGACTAATGGTTACATGTGTTTGATGATCAGAAACATTTTGTGTGACAAACATGCAAAACAATAAGAAATCAGGAAGGGGGCAAATAGTTTTTCACACCACTGTAGATCCAAGTATCGGTTGGTTTGGAAAACAATGGTATTGTTGCATCGCTAGTACAAACTAAAGAAGTCTGTAAACTCTTTGAATAAACATAACTTCCTTACATTTAAATTTTTTTTTTGTGGTTTAGAGTCGGGGTACCCCATTTGCCCTAAATAAGTAATGCAAATAACATTCTCTTTAAATCTGTAAAAATCCAAATATCTACTTAGACATCATTTTAGCCCCATCAGATGTAACTATTCACTTAAATGAATGTCACAGACAAACAGCAAGAAAATATTATGGATGTTTTATTTCCAGCAATATTCAGGATTTTTTTTGCATCTGTGTCATTTTTGATGAGTATAAAAATAAACTATGCCATAAAATACCATACATCTAGATAAAATAGATGGTATATGATAGTTTTCTGTATTTTTTTTTCTTCATGAAAATACTTTAAAGGAAATATCAGGTGAGGGGACACCTATACGCTGCTACATGTTAGTCACTTCACAAGTTTAGTCATAGTATTACGCACATTAGGTTTCTGAGTGAACTCCACGTGACAGGTGGGGCTCTTTAAAGTTACACCAGATACCAGCTCTTCTTGGAATACAGATGTTGTATTTGCATGCATTTGGATACCAGCACAACGTCTCATCTCATAAAATGGAAGAATTCACAGCATCTATATGCACACCCTTTGATGTTGGGGTTCATCCAACACCAAAGCCCACACCACAAACGGAGTCAGAATGTTTGGTTGCGTTTAACTTCACAAGGCCAGAAGTGTTGGAGAGTTTAGACTATCTGAGCCGAGGCTGCCTCTGAGGGCCTCGCAGTTGTCAACTATGGATTCAATCTCCGAGTAGTTAAAGGAGAACACTGTGCACTGGTTGCTACAAGTGGGACTGGAAGACATAAGTGGTGTGCTTAAGGATTCGAGGTCACTCGCCACAGACTTGTACAAGGTTTCCCAGTCTGGGAGGCAGATGGGGCCACTCAAATCAATGTCGGGGACAGACGCAGCTTTCTCCGATGCCCCTGCCATGTACAGGCTGGGCACCAAGTCATCCAGGTCGTCTCCCTTTAGGTCCTGCAGGGACTCTTCGGCACTGGAGCACAGCAGGATGTTGGAGTTCCCCAAAATGGCTGCGGCAGGAATGCACGGGACACTGTCCATGTCTTGACCAGAGGGGGCTTCTCTCATCGCCGAGCTGCCCTCTGAGGTTTTTGCATTCTCCAGGATGGAAAGCAGCTGTGGGGAGGCTGGGGGCTCCTGCAGCATCGACTTCATGTCATCCTCATCGCTCTCACCGTGTGCAGGTAGCTTGCAGGAGGGTTGGTGGGAAGCTAAGATGAGCTCCAGTCTCTCCTTCTCCTTCAGCAGGTTGTCTATCTCAGTCTGGAGGGCGGATTTCTCTTCCTCCAGTGAATCAGTTTCCTGAAACAAAGAAACAGGGATGCTTTGCTCTAATGGCATCATGTCACGGTAAACATGTCTCTTTGGGTGTCTCTCAGAAAAACACTCACAGCTTGAAGGCTGTCCATCAGCTCCCTCCGCCTGTTACGACACTTTGCTGCAGCAATCTTGTTCCTCTCCCGCCTGATCCTCCTCCTTTCCTCCTCTTCTTTGGAAGGCTAAAATCAATCAGAAGAAGAACGGAGTAAAATAATAATTTTAGGATGCAGATCCAGCTAAATCGCGCAGTTTCTGGCTCCCTAAAACACAATTTCCTTTGGCAGGAAAAGAAAATCCTCTTTGTGTTGAATGTTGGCAATACTGATCGGTGCAGTCTCTCTCTCTCTCGCCGTCCCTCATCTCTCCGTGCGTTTAAATGCTGCACCACTGGCACGGGCGCAGAGGCGCGAGCGCGCTTCTCTTGCAATTTGTTCTCCCTCATTCATAATTAACTGCGCAGCTCTTTCGACTTTAATTACCCGTTAAGTATAATCCTCCAGGCTTGCTGTGTCACCAATTTTCGTTTTGTCTCGACTCCAACACAGTTCATTGCTATCATGTCCTGTAAAATATCGCGATATTCTCGCATCAACATTAATAGATTTTGTTCAAAAACTTGGACTCATTTTGTTAATTAATTGGTTAATTGGTGGGTTTTAATTGATATATCATTTCTGCACATGCTTGCTCTGGTACCTGCTCTTTTTGCCCTTTCTTGTTGCAGGGCTTCGCCTTCCTCGCACCTGCTGAGGGAGACGTTGCGCCGCGACTTCTGGTTCCTGCGCGGCCGCATGATGCTGTGATGGCTTTCGGTTGCACCATCCACTTTAAATCTGGCGATGTTGAGATTGCGGTCAGTGTGGGGACAAAGGAGGATGTTGCACCAGTGTCACCATCCTGGAAGAAGCCACATGCACACATGCACGCATCATGTCACTCACTCGTTTAACTCACTAGATCAATCACACAGCTGCTGACCTTTACCAATGTTTGCACCAATCCTTTAGCTGGGAAACGTAAAAGATTCATTAAATCAACCCAAATAATGCGTAATAAAATCATAGTTTTCACCACAGTCGCTCCAAAACAGAAGGTCACGAATGAAATATATTCCAATAATAATTTTGGCATAAGAATAAAAAAAAAATTAAAATGCTTTTCATCCGTAGCAAAGCTGCAAATCCTTGCACTCTTCTGCAAATAATCCGATTTTAAATTAACATTATTTTCAAAATTACGTGGAAAATTCACTAGCTTTGATATTTGTGTTAATATTTTTTATGATACGGTTCTACCTTGCCCACTGATGATGAAAGCGAGTCAGAAGGATGCGGGCTGCAGCCGGGGGTGTCCCCGCCAGGCGATGCTGCGCTGCAGCTGGATGATGGGTCGCACTCATTGCTGGAGTCTGGATGCATGCTTTCCTCTGAGATCACTGCATTAAATAAAGTAACGATGATAACAATGAATAAAATTCGATCTATAAGTAGACAGCTGATCCCTGAACGCCTGAATTCCTTTCATAAATTGTAACTGTGCCGCTGTAGTGGAGAGGCCCGCCTTTTATAGTGAGCTGGAATTTTATGAATGAAATCTGAGTGGTGAGACCGAACCATTCCACAGATGAGCTGTGATGGATAAAACGAGGCTGGTGTGTGTTTTACATCCCAACATTTGAACCCTTGACATGTCTGAGAGGTAACACTTTGCAGGTATTTGGTGTTAACACGTTTCATTTACCCAAATCTCCTAAAATAGCGAAGACGTGTGCAGTGACACCCCCGCTTAAAGATAGAGCCCACCACCATGAATGAACTACGTCATTTATGCATGCAGCCTCTGCATCATGATGTTATTCATGCATCACGACATGAAATCGGGGTGTAGGAGGGAAGAGGTGGCATTAATGAAATAACATCAGCAGCTTATTTTTAAAAGTCCCACTTTTATCAGATTTTCAACGCAGAACTGCACAAAATAAAGCTTTATTAATAGCTTCTATAGACAAAATTGTTTAATTTCCATTTGATTTGTTGAATATTTACTGTCGGGCCATTTTTAACCCCATTCATTTATAATATTGCATTTTTAACCGTCTCTGGGTAAGAATAGAGCTCCAGCAACAGAACTGTCGCTGGAATAAAGCAGCCAATCGCCGAATGGACGGGTCAAGCCATATATGGCTATTCCGGCGAAGAGCGCGCTGCGTGGCGGGAGCGCGCAGACAGACGCTTGTCTCTGTGTGTGGCCCACTCACTCACTCACTCACTCACTCACTCACTCACTCACTCACTCACTCACTCACTCACTCACCACAAAAGAAAGTGTTGTTTGGGGGTTCGTCCGTCACGAGTGCTAATGACGGTGTCATTAACGGCACGTGGGGGGTTGCGGCGGCTTCAAAGACGTTACGGAAACTTGTTGTATTATTTCATTCAAAACGAGTTGCTGCAATAATTATGGATGAGACTGAGAAATTAATTGGCACTGATGATGTCAGAGTGCCCCCCTTAACCCAGCCGGTGTGGGACAATTCTGGTGGATATTTTTAGATTCCGGATGACCTCATGTGTCCACCGATGTGAGAGGAATAGATGGTGTGTAGAGTGGGTGCTCTGTCCTCTCAGATGACCCGCACTCCCAGTTGCTTCCCGGCAGTCACAGCCCCCCCGGCCCCTGTCCTCTACCGGTAAATCACGGTTTTGTGGACAAGTTAAGCCTATTCAGTCCTAAACAAACCAAACAAACCAAAAGCGTTCAAAGTCTGAAAGAGATCAAAGTTTGGACTTGTCACTATAGATCAGTTGTTTTCCTGAAGTGTAAATAAGAATTTAAATACAGTCAATTGCACAAAAATAAAGTTTTAAATATGTTGAAAATGAAAAGGAAATCAATATGACATTATTCACGCTTTTCCTCAAAGTGCGTCATTTATCTAACTTTTTACTTCAATTTATTAATAAAAATGTGAGCTATTTTCTCTCAATGAGGACTTTTTTATTTTATTTTCAGGCCGTTTTCTTGTAAGCATGTCACAAACAGTCAGATGAATGATTTGGAAGCTTATTTTCCTGCAAGTCAAACAGAAGTCAAACAAGCGGCACGGTTACCGATGAGGTGTCCCGTTTCATTCCGCTGCTCTGGAAGCAGCAACAGCCTGAGATGCACAAAGCAGAGGGAGCTCTCACTCTGAGGACGTTTACCGGAAACTTCAATGACGTCGTTACGTTTTGCGTGCATTGCTTTTAAAATGTGTGCGTTCGTTTCTCGGGGCAACAGTGTCAGGTTTCACTATTGAAGTGGTAACTCTGGCAAAAACCAATGATCTTTGCGGCCACATGCAAAAATGTTCACGTCAAGGGGTTGGCCGTTGCTAGGGCAACCAGGAATGTGCACCAAAACATGAGCGCGGTAAACGAAACTAATCTGCTGCTGTTTGACACAATAACACCGTTTTGAACTCGTTATTAATGACATTTCAGATTAATAATAGTTTTATATTTTCAATACATTGAAAGTCAGTTATTTCTGTTGTGGTTTTTACATAATGTGAATATTTTTGCACTTAAAATGTCATTTCTAATGCTAAAATAGGAATTAATGATTTCATTTGGAATTAAAGGCAAAATCTCATTTGTTTAGAGCAAAAATCCTCACATCCCCGTTCTGAAACGCAGGAAAAAACTGTGGTATTTATGTGAAGAAAAATACATTTTTACAAATTATGATGAACAATAAACTTAAAATTTGGTCTGGGTGGTGACTCGGTTCAGCTCTGCACGTTGCCAGGTGTCAAAAAGCGAGATACTTGAGGATTCCCTCTTTACAGGTGCAGTCTGCTTTCGATGAAAGCACACACACACACACACACACACACACACACACACACACACACACACACACACACACACACACGCACGCACGCACGCACACACACACACACACACACACACACCTAAACTTCCTTTGACGTATGTTTAGCCCTCTTTAGCCTTCCACCCATAGGCTTGACACTTTTGAACAACCTCAGGAAATGAAATATTTCTTTAATAAAAATCCGTTCCTGCAAGATAATTAGGCTCTTTTTTAAACAATTTATTGGGTATTTTACCCTCTTCCAAAATCCAAAACAGCTCTTTGAGATGTTAACACAACATTTGATAGCAAACACTGTACAATCACTTGTTAGCACATTTAGAAAGTATAAAACTGCTCAGAATGATTTTCAAATATTTGATTATGTTTAACTTCACAGATTTTTAGCAAAAAAGTGATGTGAAGAAAGCTGCACGTGCTTTCTGATAGTAGATCATGTTTATATATATATATATATATATATATATATATATATATATATATATATATATATATATATATATATATATATATATATATATTTTAGATGGGTTGCTTATGAAAACATGGATTGTGGTTATTTTAGTTTTGAACCAAACTAAAAATCTGCTTTTTCTACTTGTAGTGAAAACTATTCCGTTAGCTATGATTGTAGTTTACTCACAACAGCCTCTGTGTTTGTAGTTTTACATAACGCCAGGCTGCTGCCGCTCAGACGCTCAGATGGTGTTTCCCATCAAGATCCGCCCACCTCGCAGGAGGATGCACCATATATGGTAAACTACGTATCGGGGATTCCTTGATCTGGAATATTCCACTTATTGGTCGCTGGCTTTAAAAACAGACACGTTCTCGTCGTAGAGAGGTTGACAACACGCTTCTTGGTGATAAGCTTGTCGTATTTAGCGTGTTGGGTTTTTGGCTGCGTTGTTATGCTAGTGTTTATGGTTTCCTCCTGCCGGTTTCAGGTTGAAGACACGCCCCCAGTCGACGTCACGGCCTGGTGTATAAAACCGCTCCGAGATGCCGGAGTTGGCAGATGAAGTTTGAGCAGCAGAGCAGCGACTAAAGGAGTACGATCCACAGGAGCGCTTCCAAACCTGCAAAAGGGATTTCCTCGTCTCCCGTTTACATTCCCCTGAAGTAGTTTGTTTGGATCTCCCGAGCTTCTTTTTAGCGCTTTGAAAGGATGATGTTCACCGCTTTCAACACGGAGTGCGACTCTTCCTCCCGGTGCAGCACCGCGTCCCCGTGCGGGGACAATCCTGGATACTACCCGTCACCGGCGGGGTCTTATTCCAGCATAGAATCTCCACAATCTCAGGTAAATACGCCATTTATGTTATTTTTTTCCCATAATGACTTAAAATAAAAATTTTTTAAAAAGTTCGTGGGTGACAGAAATGTTGTGAAATAAAGGGGCAGTTAGTGATTCAATCATGCCATTTTCATGCATTCACCTGGAAACTCCATAGAGAGCATGTAACGTCACAGCTGACATCATAGGGATATTTTTAAATTGTCCAGTTTTTTATAGCAATATGCTGCTGCAACCCCCTCCTCAAACTAAACCACCTTTCACTTCTTCCCTGCAGGATTATACTGAACTGACAGCATCAAGTGCCTCCTTCATACCCACAGTCACAGCCATCTCCACAAGCCCTGATCTGCAGTGGATGGTGCAGCCTCTGGTCTCCTCCGTGGCCCCCTCTCACAGAGCTCACCCCTACAGCTCCAGCAGCCCCAGCCCAGCCTACACCAGCACAGCTATGAAGTCTGCATCCAAGGTTTCCAAGAGAGGCAGAGTGGAACAGGTGATTATCCTCTGCAATATTATGGATTAACTCAAAAGTGAATTACGGAGCAGGGATGTTAACTTTTCTGTTGCTTCTATGATGTGCAGTTGAGCATTGAGGAGGAGGAGAAAAGAAGAATTCGCAGAGAGAGAAACAAGCAGGCAGCAGCTAAATGCCGCAACAGGAGGCGAGAGCTTACAGACACCCTCCAAGCTGTAAGTATCCCGCCAGACTTTGCTTTCACTTATCAGAATGTTTTCACTGCCAGAGCTAATAGCAGTGCATTCCAGCAGCCGACTAAATGCCTCTTTTCCCCTCCTTCCCCTGGCAGGAAACTGATCAGCTGGAGGATGAGAAGTCTGTCCTGCAGAATGACATTGCCAACCTGCTGAAGGAGAAGGAGAGGCTTGAGTTCATTCTGGCCGCCCACCAGCCAATCTGCAAAATCCCCTCAGAGCTGGACACAGACTTCCACCTGTCTTCCATCTCTCCTGTCCACTCCTCCATCCCCTCTTCCCAGCCTGTAAAGTCCGCCGTCACTTCTAGTCAGCCAACTTTCACCTCAGCCTCCAATTCCCTCTTCTCCAGCAGCACCCCCATCCTCTCCACCACAACCATTTCCAACAGCACAGTCAAGATGACCGACCTGGACTCGTCTGTCCTGGAGGAGTCTCTCGACCTGCTGGCAAAGACGGAGATGGAGACGGCTCGTTCAGTCCCCGAGGTCGACCTGCCCAGCTCCCTTTACACAAGTCAGGACTGGGAGCCCCTCCACAGCTCAGCCAATAATGCTGACTTTGAGCCTCTGTGCACACCTGTCGTGACCTGCACTCCAGCATGCACCACCCACACGTCTTCATTCATGTTTACCTTCCCAGAGGCTGAGACCTTCCCCTCTTGTGGCGTCGCTCACAGGAGAGGAAGCAGCAGCAACGACCAGTCCTCCGACTCGCTCAACTCCCCAACCCTGCTGGCCCTTTAAGGACTCTTCCTGGATACATCGTTCTTCCTTAACAAGCACATTCTCCTCAGATATACGTGCACATCACAGGGCAATAGCACAGACTTGTACATGGAAGCATAATTCTTAATGATTTTATCTGCCTTTATATACAAATATACTTGCCTATTACACCATGTAGCAAGTTAATAAGCATGTTTCAAACAATAGTCGTTCTATGAGTTCCTCTGATTATATGGTGCTAGATAACTAAACGTATTGTTTACTGATGTGTTTTAAGAGCAATACTTATTTATTTTCTGTTAAACTAGAGTAATTATGACATGTTTGTGATAAAAAGACAGGTGTGATTTTGTCTTAACCATGGTCTGAGTGGTCTTTAAAATATGAAGTTTTCTGTGAAAACATTTGTGCTTTTAATTTATGAGAGTTTTATTTTTTTACAAAGTATAAAAATGTTGTTATATATGTGAATAAAATTTAGCGATATTTAAATTCACTTCTTTTGTTTGTTGGACTTTTAATATTATTTATTTTATCAAGTATTTCCGCCCACGTGTCAAAGGACGTTATGATAATGCCCCAAATCGGCCTGAACAGGGATAGCGGTATTTTTCCTGCTCCTTCCTGCTCTATTTATTGTTCCGTCTGTTGCCAAGGTCTGCTGTACGTCAGGGCTGTGACGTCAGTGCGTTTTTTCCTTCTTTTTTTTTCAATTTGCAAATTATGCGCTGTTGCGTTACTTCCGTGCCCAAATACGGGGAGTCGCTGTTGCAGTCTGTGAGCAGAACCAGAACGGACGGTCGGACCCGATGGGTCGGACACAAAAGCGCACCAAAGGTTTCCTCTGAGCCGAGAGCAGCTGCTGGCATGTTCGCCGGAAGACGGAAAGAAAAGCTGTTGCCTTTATTCCGCAATCCAGGCCACATTGTTTCTCACGTCTCTACTGGCTACGACAGCTTCTGCAGACGAAATCACCAGACAGCAACGCTTCAACCACAAAGCTGTGTTTGGTTCTGCAAAGGAAGGTCTGAATGCGTCAAGATGCGTCTCTAAACGCAGCCAGACGCACGAAGAGCACGCTCGTCTCAGAAATAGACAACAATATGCACTTAATGCAGGAGACAATGCTCATTTCTATAAATGCATCTCTTTTGTGATATAAGTAACTTTACTCTTGATAAAATTACAAAAGACTTGCCTCTTGTGAGGATGCCCAACCCCAACTCCTACCTGCACATTAAAAGTGATTAATTACAAACTTCGTCATGCACACATAGACATATATCTCTATATAAACTATAGATATGTCTGATATATCTAGTTTTTATTGTACTAATGGGTGTTTTATAAAAGTAACTTTATACATTTGACCTCAAAGACCCCTTATGGGTTGAGGATGAAACCTCTGGTTTAACTGAAAATAATAATGTAAACAATGATCCTGATTTGTTTCTTTTAGGAATTTTAACTGGAGTTCACCAATAGGACATTTCCATGACTGATTTTGATGTTGATTTTTTTTATCAGGGATGCTGACGCCCTCACATATCACTGATTTCCATTTTTCTTTCTGAATTCTGACCCACCTGACCAAAACTACAGCAGTGGAGTCTGAACCAACCATTGATCTTGGGCCTATTTCTCCATACTCAAAACCAGTTGTTACCAGTTTGGGGGTGAAACTTGATGCAGGACTTAAATTTGATGCTCACATCAACTCTGTGATCCGGTCCAGTTTCTTTCACCTGAGACGCCTTGCAAAAATCAAGCATATGCTGTCGAGAGTCCACCTGGAGCGGGTACTTCATGCATTTGTTATTTCTAGGCTTGATTACTCTCTCTATGCAGGACTGGGTCAGTCATCACTGCGTCGCCTACAGGTTGTGCAGAACAGCACAGCCAGGTTCCTGACTGGGACCAGGAAACAGGACCACATCAGTCCGGTTCTGGCCTCCCTGCACTGGCTTCCGGTTTGCTATCGTTCACACTTCAGACTCCTCGTCTTTGTTTTTAATTTCTTCCAGGGTGGTGCTCCCCCCTATCTGGCCACGCTCCTGAACAGACATTCCCCATCACGCGCTCTGCGCTCCTCTGACCAAGGCCTGCTCGCTGTCCCTCATTCTAGGTGTCATACTCGCGAAGACTGGGCTTTCTCAGTCCTACCACCGTCACTCTGGAACCAGTTGCCACCCTCAGTTAGGCTGTCCCCATCTCTGCCAGCCTTTAAGAGTCGCCTAAACACACCTCCTCCGCTTGGCGTTTCCTGAACGTGTTTAAATTTGGCCCTCTTTTATGTTGACTTTATCTCACAGTTTTCATTGGTTCACTTTTTCCCTTGTTTTACACATTTGTCTTCTACTGGAATGTTTCACCTTTTTTGTAATTTGTAATCTGTAATTTGAATTGCTTTTATTTTCTGATTTATTCACTTTATTTTACTTTGTACTGTACCATGTTCAGCGCCTTGGGCTTCCTGACAGGGTTGCGGAAGGCGCTTTATAAATAAAGCTTCGATTTGATTTGAAACCACATGGCTTTGACCAAGAGTGACCTCAACCTGAGTATACTTAAATGTTAATTTAAATATTTGCTATAACTCCTCCATGCAATTTCTGCTGCAAAAATATACTTTAAGGTTGACAGAGCTTCATGATATTTCAGCAAAAATTGGTTAAAAAAGAGGGTTTGCCTAATGGCTTTAAAACAGGAAATGTGCAGTGGGAAACATTCATTCTGACAATAACTAACCAACTCTGACGTTTGCGCCCCTTCCAGGGTGGTCACACCCTTTTGTGTAACGCAACACCATGAGATTTTATTTCCTGTCCAAGCCTGCTCCTACAAACCTCAACTGTGCAAGATAAACCGTGTCTGATGACGTTTTATTTCATAAACTTGCAAAAGAAAAAGATGATTGTGTAACATTTTGCGTAGAAATAAAATTCCTGTTTCGTTAGCCTGCTGCTGTTGCGTAACAGCCTGACTCGAGTGGATCTGGTTTTCTGAGCTGAACCTCCCTTTCCTCGATGAAGCTCCTGTACGTGCGACCATGCATAGCTCTAATAATATCCTTCTCCCGGGCCCGGGGAGACGGTGGAGCGGCAGAAATAGCAGGTGCCTAATGCCTCTTTTAACATCAGCATCAACAGCAGTAAAATTAGACCACTCTGACGCCAACCTGCGTCGGTACTGTTACCCAGGGGAGGATCCAGGCAACGTACGGCAATAACAGAGAGAGGCAAAGAAAGTAAAGCAAGACAATGGGGAGATGAGGAGGAGGAGGAGGAGGAGGATGAGAATATAGCAGGAGGGGAGTCAGACAGAGATCCCTGTCTCTGTGTAAGTGTGAAGAGTGGTGATGAAACAGCAGAGCTTGCCTACATGCGCTCATCAGGCTCTGGATTTATCCTCAGGAACCCTTCTTGTGGAGAGGAAACGAGTGCTCTACAATATAACAACACTTCCCTTTTTGGGTTGAGAGTCTGAGTAACAGAGTGAACAAATTCCACCTTTAAAGCAACTCTTCAGCTTAAACAGTCAAGATCATTGTATGGTTTTGAAATCCGTCTGGACATCACCTCCGTCTGTTTTATTGTGTAGATTTTCAGTTTCATGAATCAATAACGAGCAGAATGACAGCAGCAGTATGCGTGAAGGGTGTGTACTTGCGTCAGCAAGCAGGTAATTTTAAGGAAGTACTCGTTGACATGAGAGATAATAAAAATGTTAATTAGTCACCAGAAGGAAGAATTGTTGTGTTTGCGTCTAAAATGCAATCCACCTCATATTTGAAAAAAAGAAATTCAGATAAAAGTTTGACGTGTGATTCCTCGGATGTTCAATTTTTCTTTTAAGGTCTATAAATATAAAGTTCTGTTCACCTCATTTCCTGGGTGAATTTTCTGCAGCAGGGGGTGTGTGACGTGCTATTCGTAGAGATTTTTTGATGCACTAAGCTACAATACTGGAGGGATTTCTCTATCCAATAATTACCGTTCACCTCCAGCCAGACTCCCCTCTCTGCAACGTTCCCTCGTCACGTCTCCTGGGATCAGTAACAAGGAGGTTTCCCTGGAAACTGGACAGCTCTGGCGATCATTATTGTGTAATCTCTCAGCTGCTGACAGGAAAGAGTAGCTTTTGGGATGCGGGGATGAGCATGTAAAGATGTTTCTGTGAAATGATGTGGTTGTTATGAGACTATTGTTGATAAATGTAGAACACACAAGCTACGGACATCTGCGTCAGATTGTTACTTATTCATCGGAATAATCAAAGCCTCGGATCGATCGCCTGTGGTTCTCCCTTGAAATGACGTGTTTGCTCGAGCCCTCCCACACTCCGCCACATACTCCGCCATCAGTCTCAGTAAATGGCCTCTCAGACCCACTGGGATGCTCACTCTGAAAAGATGCTGCTGTTTACGTAAGACTCCCACCACGATGTAATGGCTGCCTCAACTGAATCGATCTCAGACACTTATAAGATATTTTTAAAAATCAAAAGAAGAAAAGCAGTTTGTGTTTCTCCTGTTGGGTTTATGCAGCTTTGGCCGAAAGTCATTCTCGATCACCTATAAACTGATCAAAGAACATTTGAGGTCGGATCTGGTCATGTTCATCCTCCCTCCACCAACCTGCTTGAACATGATGTTAGTTTACAACATCTGAGTGTGCTGGAGCACGTACGACTCACATAAATCAGCAAACACGTGATAAAGTCAGCCAGTTTATTCAAATGATATTACTTCAAGTTACAAGGGGAACCTCACAAAAAAAATCAAGCTGCTAAACTTGAACAAGTGTGAAATCAAATGATAAACTAAATATTTTTATCCAGTAATATAAATAGTTTTAATCATAATATTTTAAAATGACTATTTAAGCTAATTCATTTATAATTATTACTGGTCAAGTATGTGTCTTAATCAAATAATCCTGGTTTCACTGGATTTTATGTGGATCACAACATTCCGTTGGCTTCATTGGAACATTTTATTGGCATTCACTCAAGGCAGTGTGTCGGACTGCTTTAGATCCCGCCTGAATGACAGGACTCTCTGAGTTAGCGTTAATATCAAACCTTCTTCTGTTCCTGTTTTACTTGGAGTTCCACAGGGATCAGTCCTTGGCCTTTGCTTCATAAAGAAAGTTGGCTTGGCTTGATGAAATGTGTACTCTAGGAATGAAAAGAGCCTTCACTAAAGTAAAAATATTCTAAAAATATGCTATTATTTTAATGTTTACATTAATATTGTTCTTTTAAAAATCTTTTATTATATGTTATAGTCTTTAGTGCTCTAAATTATTTAAAAATGCAAATAATCAGTCCTTTTTTCATTATCGTTTTCTTGCTGTAGAGGGTTAACAGAGACTTTCTAAGCTCTGGTTAACTTTACTTGCAGCAGTTGATTGAAGACAAATTCAAACGACTCCTCCCAGTCTTTGCAGAAAGACCTGCTGAACAGGTTTAAACATGAAAGATGAACGCAGACCTAATTTTGTTGCTTACTGTTTCTGCAACCGTTTAGTCCTATTTTAACCTAATTTTGCAAAATGTGTTTGCAACTTGAAATTTTTCAAAAATATGAAACAATTTATCGAGTCAGATATTTTCATATTAAAACTTTTTTGTGTGTTATCTGTGTCACTTAATATTTAGATGTAGCACTCCCAGCTGATGCTGCAGATATAGAAATACTATTAACAGAGTTTGCAATATCTACAATAATCTAATTGCAAAAATGCATTGCACTACAGATCGTTGTGTTTTCATTAAGGCAAAGCAGTGTGAAAATCAGAAACGCAGAGTTTGAATTTAGGGTGGCGACCCTATTTGGCCACCAGATATTACAACTTCCCGCACAGACCTTTAAGATGTTGAAATATTTATGGCAGCAAATGACTACTGATTTGACACAACACTTCCTTTGTCTGTTTATGAAAGTCAAACCATAAAACAACAGTGTCATTAAGTTACTTTTGTAGCCTATTTCCAGATGCTGTTCATTCTCACACCTTGTTTGAAACTTTGCACCCAGATGCACCTGACGTCATGTGCTGCAATTTGACTGTAATGCGATCATACTCCACCCTTCACGTTACCATGGTACAGATCACCTGAACACACTTCACCTGTTGTACAACTATTCTAGGATCACATTTATGTTTTCGTTTTCCCTTTTTTTGTTGTTTTAAACTTACAGCATTTTGACCAAAAATTGGCAATACCAGTCTGATCCACAAGATTTACAGCAAACAAACTGTTGATTATGTCCCTTATACTGCCGTCAAACTTGAAGGAATCCAGGTTCAAGACTCTGTGGACACCCATCTAATTTTCTGAGCTTTGGCAAACTCGCAAAAAAATAAAAAAACGTTTTTTCCATGCAAATCAACATCTGTGGATTTAGGTTTCCCAAGCACCATCATAAGAAAGACTAGTTGTTTTACACTTTGAAGCATACTTCATCACAGCAAACATGCATTTCCATCATGATTTGCTTGTGCTATACAGTTAATTTGAATCTCTGAAACAGCTTTTCAAAAAAAAGCTCTAATGGAATAGAAAAAGTTTGTTAAAACATGTCAATGCTGGGGTCACATAACAGGAAATAATAAGTAATTGAAAAAGAAGTAATAAAAACTGGTTTTGAGACTGTTAATTTCATTTAAGATATTAATTTTTCTCAGGAGCAGCTAAATTTCAATGAACTAGAGGATATATTATCTAGTTTTTCTCCTAAATGTATGGCTTAAATGCAATGACGAAATAAAAGGCAAATAGTTTAAACGTGACGCACAAACAACGAGAACAGTTCGAGAGCGCCACGGCGAACTGGAGTGCAGTTCTCCTCCTGGCCAGAGGCGGCGCGAGAGTGCTAGGTGAGAACGGTAGTATGAGCTGGAACTCGGTGTTAAACTGGTTTGCTGGCACGGGCTGGTTGGTCGGTCGTTGATGGTAGCCATGGCCCGATTTGCTGCGCTACTGCTGCTACCGGTTCTCGTTGAATCGGTCTTTTCAATCTCATTCTTTTTACCGGTCAATTCCAGAAAGTGTTTACGAGAAGAGATCCATAAAGACGTCCTGGTCACGGGAGAGTATGAAATTGGCGAACAGGCGAACACAAAAACTAATCTGAAGGTGAGCACAGATCTGCGATACTTAAGGCTCAACTTGAGTCTGAGAGCGTAAATGCTGTATTTGTTTTATAGTTAAGTAGCAGTTACATATGATGAGAATGTTATATGATTGTTACAAGTTTAGCTGTTTGTGGAGTGCAATGAGATGATTAACAACTGTTGTTAGCATGTGGCTAATCCAGGCCCGAGAAACTCGTCTTCCTGGTTTGACAAGCTAATAAGCTAGCTACCTTGTTAATGAGTTATCTTAAGTCAAATGACCTGAATTAGCTTTAATTTGCTTTAAAACACACTCTTAATTATATTTCCCAACAGTGACCTAGTGCTCTAAACTATGAGTGTCGGAGATGTAATTATATTATGATTTATTTGGTGTCGTCACGAATCTTCTCCTGTAACACGTCAGTCTTACGGTCCACTCAGGCAGCAGCAGCAGGAACCATCTACACGTCAACATTACCTTTACTGAAATGTTGTAGAATTTAACCGCTTCTCACGATTTTACTCTAACCACTAGGGTAGTCAACTTTTAAATTTCTGGTTACTGTAAACTAACAAGAAGCTTAATATATGGTGGAATTATTTAATGTGTCAACAGCTGCTAAATTCACGCAGATGACGTAGCTGTCAAAACATGGATTCTTTTTCAGAATAGCATGGAGGTGCTGATGAGCTTTTTGTCCTAAAATAACCGTGTAGTTTTCTATTAGCTTTTTTTCCCTTTAGAAATCAATATTTGGACATTAAAATCGTGGTTTCACAATCCAAACATAACGTGGTAATCGGCAGGCATTAATCTTGAACTAAAATGAAATTTTAAAGACCCCAACACCTACATTTCTTCCAGTTTGATTGGCATTTGTATGATTCCTGTCATTTTTCCTTTAATGTTGTAGATCACAGACTCTTCCAGCCACATTCTTTACTCCAAGGATGACGCCACAAAGGGAAAGTTTGCCTTCACCACAGAGGACTATGACATGTTTGAAGTTTGCTTCGAAAGCAAATCACCAATGGGTAAGTGTTGTCGCAAAATCCGAACAACATTTAATTGAGTTTTATTTCTATAGCGCCAAATCACATCAAGAGTTGTATCAAAATGACATTCACACAGTAAACGTTCTATCCAGGTCAGTTCATTAAGCCAATCAGTAAAACGTTTCCTATGTAATGAACCCAGCAAATTGCATCGGTGACTTTACAGCAATCATACTAAGCGAGCATGTAGCGACAGTGGAGAGGAAAACTCCCTTTTAACAGGAAGAAAATCTCCAGAGGATCTTGGCCCAGTAAAAGTAGCCATCCGCCACGACTAGAAATCCCACTGGAACAAGATTAAATAATTTTCAGATGCATTCATCAGACATTCCACCTTATTACAGTATAGTGTTCTATGTCTCATATTAGGGCTTGATGGATTTCCTATGTTTATGGATTTTGATATTCTGTTAGTGGACTTTTTGCATTTATAGAATCACACCAGGTTTGCATGACAAAATAAAAAAGTGCTGTATTATAATTTTTATGTTAATGACCTTTAAAATGATATCCAAATCTGCAGGAACTGGAAGAGTACCCGACCAGTTGGTCAATCTGGACATGAAGCACGGTGTTGAGGCCAAAAACTATGAAGAGGTAAGTGACTGCATGTTGCTTTACAAGCTACAGGTGATAAACATCTTCTAGTTTAGAAGATCGGGATGATCCTGCATGCAATGTTTTGACTCCTACGCTGAATCTTTCTAAACTTACCAGATATTTATCTGATTACTACTTATTTTGAGTACAGGGTGCCTAAGTATCCTCCCCGCAGCCTCCCTAAAACATCTTTTTATTAAATTAAATAACATTGCATGAGAACTGAATTGTTTCAGTAATTCTCACTCAAAGCTAAAAGGAAAATGAACTTGCGTCACTTCTATTAACTCTTCATTTTATCAGTGAAGATAAATCCTGACCTAAGGAGGAGGGTGTCTTTTTATTTCTATAGTTGAACAAAACTGTGCATCATCGCTTTAGTTTGTAATATTTTTGAGCATCTGGCTCCCTCGGGTCAAAGTGGACACGTATAGAAGTGTTTAAAGCCAAGTTTTCCTGCCCACACATGCGCACACATCACAGGCTTTTCATCTGAATGTGTCAGAGGCTTTTCAGAGTTGAGGGCATTCCTCAAAGGTGGAGCTGAAGTTGCACGTTTTCACTTGCGTCATTGTTTTAAAGATTTGGCAAGCCAGCGAGAAGAGGATGTTCCACAAAGTTTCACAATGTTCTGGATTGTTTGTTTGGCAGATACGAGTTGTGTCGCACATCTTGGATAAAATAATCGGCTTTAAGCTCTGTGGGATTGTAAGCTCGTACAAATATGGGCTTCCTAAGACAATTTCAGGTTGTTTTTCTCTGAGATGGACAAAAATATTCTTGGCTTTATTTTAGGCGAGAATTTAACAGTTCTTTTTTATAATCCTATTTGTTTTTACAGTTTTATCATCATTTATTATTTTTATCAGCTTCAAATTCAGCTTGATTACTCCAGAAGTCCTTCAAATCTAAGCTTTTGGCACGCTTAATGAGTTTTAGCCCGAGTAGCATCAAGGATTTCTTAGAAGGAAGAAAACTGAAAAAGATGCAAATAAAAAATTTTTTTTATGTGGAGTAATTTTTGAATGTTGCTTGTTTACTAGAGCATTGTTTATTATTTAGGAATCAGTCTTGCTACATAAGGAATGAATGATAAATAATGGAAGCTTCCCTGAATGACTTGCTACAGAAAATGAATCTGTGAAGATTTTTGCTAGCATAGGATTAGTGGATTATTCTACCAGATTAGATTCATCCCATCAGTTATCAGTATTCCCAGGGGACTCCCTCTCCTCCCTGATTGAGTTTTTTGTGGAGGATCTAGTGAAATAATGACCTCATCAGCTTGGCTCCCATTTCTGCTGAAACCTATTATTAATTTGTTTGTTTACACCAGGTGATGACTGAGACCTGAAGGCATGTAGGTTAGTGGGACAGAGCTGGGGAAGGCTGAAATACAAACACAGGAACATTCTTGGAATGTTTTCACCTCCTTCCTTTCTGTCAAAGAGCCGTTGGTCTTCTCGGTGTATTTTCAAAATTTCTTTCTTTCCTTTTTTTTTTTTTTTTTTACAATATTTGTTTGGATTTTTTGATAATTTTCACTGCTAGTGAAGTATATCTCTGTCTGGTTTGTCAGTTTAAAACATTTAATGTGAAGGAATAAAAGAGTATCATCTGCAAAAGTCAACATTAACTGTATAACATTGACATAAGTGCCTAAACTGAAACATGCAAACCTTCAGAATTCTTGGTTAATCAAGATTAATGTTGAAAATTAGAGAAAAAAGTGTTAAAAGAGAAGAAACAAGGAATCATTGGGGCTTCTAGAGACCTTATATCAGGCCTCTCCGGTTCAGCTGTGAGGTTCACACACTTCTATTTACAGTTTCAGAGCGACACCTACTGGACAAGTTGTTAACCAACACCACTGATAAAGCTAGTCAGTGTTTTCATTCGTCTCCGTTTTGACCCTTCAGATTGCAAAAGTGGAAAAACTGAAGCCTCTGGAGGTTGAGCTGAGGCGGCTGGAGGACCTGTCAGAATCCATCGTGAATGACTTTGCTTACATGAAGAAGAGGGAAGAGGAGATGCGGGACACCAACGGTAAGGCAACCACCGAACCATCAGGTCATCGATGTCACATAAATATATATATCTTAGTGTTTTGGGAAAGAGTCCTAATAAAAAAGAAAAACTTCAATAATAAAACGTGGTTAACTCCTGTATCTCACCACTACAGAGTCCACAAACACACGCGTGTTGTACTTCAGTATATTCTCCATGTGCTGTCTCATCGGACTGGCCACATGGCAGGTCTTCTACTTGCGGCGCTTCTTCAAGGCAAAGAAGCTGATCGAGTAGAGCGGTTCACCTGGCTCCGTTCCCCGAGGAACCCTGCCCGCCAGTCGGCAACCCCATCCCAGCATCCACCCTTCTTGGACTAGCGTCAACAAGCAACAGCAAGTGGGGCTGAGGGGCTCAAAATCTGGTTTTCAAGGTTGAGAGAAAAGGGTTTTCCTCCGGGGGAACATCTGCTTGTTACGTAGCTGTCAACAAGAAAAGCTCTGCAAGGAGAAATGAAGTGAGATAATGGTTGTTTCTTTCTGCACCGTTTTTACTGTTGCAGCTTCCTGAACAAGATTCCTTCATCAGTTGAATCGTGTTTTATTTTGAGCTCACTTTGAATGGATACACCATGAGTGAATGTTTCTGCCCTTCTGTTGAAATGCATTCTTTGCCATGTCATGCAAACTAGATCATCTGTCCTTTTGTCGACCAGGGCTCATTGAAAACATGGTTTGTTGTTACTTTCAGAAATTGGCAACCACTGAAACTTTGTGTCGTGTCACTCAGTAGCTATATTTAACTGTGTCTTTAGTTTTTCATATTGTAACTGCCACTTAGTTGCTTCTACTGGAAGGGTTTGAATTTTCACATTAATATTCCTTTATTGTAAATTTGGTCACTTCCTTGATCTCTTGCATGTTCGAGTTTTGTTTTTGGAACCTCCATCATCCAAGAACCAAAAATCCTCTTCTTGCACCGACATGGTTTGTATGACGCATTCATGCAAGTTTCTCATCAGAATGCAAGTTGGTAGTTGTGACAAAAAATTAGAAGTTATTCAGACATTTGCCCCTTTTTTGCTTTACACCTGATTATATTGTTTCCAATAACAGTCCTTGCAGATCCATCCAGTGTTGGTTTTATTTTTGTTTTTTCGTTGGAAGTGTTTGAATCTTGGGTCACGTCAATGTGGGTGTTTGCAGGTTTTCATATTGGTTTTGACAGGAAGTAATGGCTGTCCTGGTACATTTTTAACAATGGAACATGCGCATTCAGCGCAGTCAGTGATTTTTATGTTGACTGATAAATTTTGTAAATTTGTGTTGGGCTTTTATTCAATAAAAATATTGGATGGATTTACATGAGTTAAGTTTGTAAAGGTGTTTCCCTGTTCAAAGAATGTTCAGAATTTTTTTTTTTTTTTTGCCAGTCCTATAATAAAAATTACAGTGATCCAAACAGGTATTCTGTTGCATGGAGATAATAAAATACAAGGAAAACTGAATTTGTAACCAAGAAATTATGATCTATGTAAAACTTATGCAAGAATAACAAAATTACTAAAAAATCAAAAATTTGCCCAGATTAAAACTAGGTCATGTGTTTGATGGTAGGAAACTTCACCTACCTAAGTTTTGAGCAAATAACACGTGCATAATATTTTCACAAATTTGTATTGAATTAACATATTTTTTATTATGCCCTGTCTGCTTTTTTCTAATTGATTACTTCATTAATTTTTTTTATTAGTAAAATAAAATAGCACAAAAAATAACTTTTCGTTAGTTGTTGAAGGACAGACATTTTTTAAAATTCAAAATCAAATGGGAAAGGCCCCGAACTCCTTTCTTACCCATGCTGCCGCCTTTGGCCAAGTCTCCTTTGAAAAATGGACTTTAATCCTAAATAAAGGTTGAATAAACATTAAAGCTAAATAAAAAAATCAAGTATTTTTAGGATGAGATGCCTAGTTTATTTACGTTTTAAAGATATCGCTTAAAAGGTGATGAAGATAGACGCAGTAATCAGTCAACCAATCAGAGAGAAGAACACCCGCGTCCCCCGGATGTAATTCAGAAGAAATTCCGGTTCCCGATTTTTATGGTAGAAATTCGCCTATATCTGTTTTCTGCCGGTTAGTTCTGTAGTTTTTACTTGAACTATGCCGGGCCCGTACAAAGAAACGGACCTGACGGAGAGGGTCGAAGCTTTCCTGTCGGACCTGAAGCGGGGAGGCAGCGGAACCGGACCTCTGAGAGGTTCGGCTGAAACGGCCAGAGAAACGACGGCGCTACTCCGCAAAATTACCGCCCAGGCTCGGTGGAGCAGCGCAGGTGCTTCATTTGTCCCCTTTCTTCAGTTTAAAGTTAACCTTAACATCACAGTAGATCCACAAGCTGCTATAGGATCTACAAGTGGAGAGAAACACCGCGAAATATGTTAGCTGTTAAAACCCACGCTCCAGGAACAGGATATTAGCCTATTAGCATAACGGTGCGCCTAGTTTAGTACAGATGCTATGTAAGGACAAGACGTACATAGGATTAAATGTGGAGCAGTGTCCATATACATGTAAAAATGAATGGGAATGCAGACAGATGAATAGAAACGAACAATAACAACTTAATTTAAAGTTGCTTCAGTCAAACCTCATAATTATCCGTCTGTGTGCCCCTGTTGGCTCTCACCATTGTTTTGATCTGATCCTGTTTGATATTTTCACGTTTTCTGTCTTAGGTGATCTCATGGAGATCATCCGTAAAGAGGGCAGGAGAATGACCGCTGCTCAGCCTTCAGAGACCACCGTTGGTAACATGGTCAGAAGGGTGCTGAAGATCATCAGAGAGGAATACGCCAGGTGAGGACGCACCAGGGTGTAATCGGAATAAAAACATAAAACAGACAAAACTAATTCCTGCTTCCAAAAGGACACAATGTTAATTCTCTCCTTAGATCTCGAGGTAGCAGTGAAGAAGCAGACCAACAGGAGTCGCTCCACAAGCTCTTGACCTCTGGAGGACTCAGCGAGGAGAACTTCAGGCATCATTTTGCTCCTCTTAAAGCTAACGTCATCGAGGCCATCAACGAGTTGCTGACGGAGCTGGGTGAGTTGTTCTTATTAAGCTTATTTAGTTTTCAAGCAGAATAAATCCACAATTTTAAGGAGATTTCTTTAATTCTGGGCTTCCTTCACTCTTTCAGAGGGAACGACTGACAACATTGCGATGCAGGCACTGGAACACATTCACTCCAACGAGGTCATCATGACAATCGGGCGCTCTCGCACCGTAGAGGCCTTCCTCAAAGACGCTGCGCGGAAACGCAAGTTCCATGTCATCGTAGCAGAGTGTGCACCCTTCTGCCAGGTAGCACGGACAAATGAGGTCTAAGTAAGTTAAACTCTTTGTTGTTTAAAATAATTTTTTAAAACTTTATTTATCTTCTAATAGGGACATGAAATGGCCACCAGCCTATCAAAAGCGGGCATAGAAACAACCGTGATTGCAGATGCGGCCATATTTGCGGTCATGTCTCGAGTTAATAAGGTATTTTTCCACATCTGATGATTAAGGGTATCGTCAGGGCATGCAGGTTAACTTGTGTGATGATGTGTCTGCAGGTCATCATCGGTACTCAGACAGTCCTAGCAAATGGTGGTTTGAGGGCCGTCAATGGAACACATACACTTGCCCTCGCGGCCAAACATCACTCAACACCTCTCATCGTTTGTGCTCCGATGTTCAAGCTCTCACCTCAGGTCCGATAAACACCCGCATCCATCAGACCTTTGCTCTTTCTCTTAATAACAAACAATTTCAACTTTTATATTTTATTTATTTTGCAGTTTCCAAATGAGGAAGACACCTTCCATAAATTTGTTTCCCCACACGAAGTCCTCCCTTTCACCGAAGGTAAGTCGTTACCACAACCTCCTTTTGAGCCTTCAGGTGAAAAGTTGCATCCATTGAAAGAAATCGGTTTTATCTTTTTGTTTTTCAGGTGAGATCCTCTCTAAAGTCAACGTACACTGTCCAGTGTTCGACTACGTTCCTCCTGAGCTCATCACTCTCTTCATCTCCAACATTGGAGGACATGCACCCTCATACATTTATCGACTAATGAGTGAGCTTTACCACCCGGAGGACCACGAGCTTTAATCGCTGTAATAAATAAGTTATTAACTATTGACGTTGAGTTTTGTTTACTTTGAGAGAAAGAGAGCCCAGTGGCAGGAAGGCAGTTTTCTCCTCTTTTATTTAGTTCCACACAAACCTTCCACTTAAGCACAAAACAGAGGTAAACACATCGACTAAAGATACTAAAACCACGTGATAATCCACATCTGGACTCCATCTTTGATGAATAAATGGTAATCAAACACCTCTCCCATTAGCAGTTACACAATCACTTTTTTTCTGTAAAAACAAGTTTTCATTTATGAAAAAGTTTTAAGGGAAACGTGCCTTAGTGGTGGGAAAACTTCCCCTTTCTGATCCAGTCTAGCGGTTGAGGTTATTATGGAACTAACGCTAAAATATTTGGCTATGCTGTAATTTTGCCACCATTTGACAATTTCAAGCCACTAATAGACATTAAACAAATAGTTTTATAGATTTTATTGTAGCTGCAGCGATGTAGGACATTTAAAGGGTACAAATAAAAATACATAAATACTAAAATTTGCATTAAAATATACACTCACTGGCCACTTTATTGGATACACCTGTCCAATTGCTCGTTAATGCTAATTACTAATCAGCCAATCACAGGGTGGCAACTTAATGCATTTAGGCGTGTTGGCATGGTCAAGATGATAGGCTGAAGTTCAAACTGAGCTTCAGAATGAGGGATGAAAGGTAAGTGAAGTGACTTTGAACGTGGTCTGGTTGTTAGTGCCAGACGGGCTGGTCTGAGTATTTCAGAACCTGCTGATCTTCTGGGATTGTCGCACACCACCATCTCTAGAGTTTACAGAGAATTGTCTGAAAAAGGGAAAACATCCAGTGTGCAGCAGTTCTGTGGGTGAAAATGCCTTGTTGGTGCCAGAGGTCAGAGGAGAATGGCCAGACTGGTTCCAGTTGATAGAAAGACAACAGTAACTCAAATAACCAATTGTTACAGTCAAGGTGTGCAGAAGAGCATCGACACGTCGAACCTTGAGGTAGATGAGTTACAGCAGCAGAAGACCACACCGGGTGCCACTCCTGTCAGCTAAGATCATGAAACTGAGGCTGAAATTCATACAGGCTTACCAAAACTGGACAATAGAAGACTGGAAGAATGTTGTGTGCTGCAACATTCAGATGGTAGGGTCAGAATTTGGCGTCAACAACATGAAAGCATGGATCCATCCTGCCTTGCCTCAACGGTTCAGGCTGCTGGTGGTGGTGGTGTAATGGTGTGGGGGACATTTTCTTGGCACACTTTGGGTCCCTTAGTACTAACTGATCATCGTTGCAACGCCTCAGCCTACCTGAGTATTGTTGCTGACCATGTCCATCCCTTTGCGACCACAGTGTACCCATCTTCTAACGGTTACTTCCAGCAGAATAATTTACCATGTCATAAAGCTGGAATCATCTCAGACTGGTTTTTCTAACAAGACAGTGAATTCACTGTACTCCACAGTCACCAGATCTCAATCCAATAGAGCACCTTTGGGATGCGGTAGGACGCATCATGGATGTGCTGCCAACAAGTCTGCAGCAACAACGGGATGCAATCATGTCAGCATGGACCAACATGTGAGGAATGTTCCCAGTACCTTGTTAAGGCAGCTCTGAAGGCAAAACGGGGTCCAACCCGGTACTGGCAAGGTGTACCCAATAAAGTGGCCAGCAGCTTTATTTATATAGCACATAGCACACATAGATGATATTTAATGTGCTGTCCAGTAGCACGAAAAAACTGGAAACGTAAACGGTAGATTTTAACATCTGTACAGAAAATGTGACTTTAAAAAAGAAAAGGTTATTAAAGACTGAGCGGTTATGTAGAGGTCACATGACGCTGGCTCCATCCGTGTGCAGCATTGTAGCTAAAATATTGTCTGTAAAAATAATGTTTGTAAAGAACCAAAGATGTGTATTTTCCTAACAGGTTCAGAGACAAAAAACAAAATATGATGTTTTTTTAACTGCAGTGTTACATTTATTACATCTTTATCCTAAAAGCAGTTCTTATGTAAATAATCAGACTTTTTTTCTTAAATCTCTAACTGAAAAAGCATTTTGGCTGATTTTTCTCTGCTGTTCTTGTGTAACCACTCTTCTGTGCACAGTAACAAACCCCACTGAACATAAATGATGCACGTTATTTATGATTTAAAGAAACAAACACTTGTCACTAGTCTGCTGTATGTAGGCGTTAATGTGCACCTGTGATACCTGACCAGAGAGGTCGTGTGTGCTGGCGTGACTCGGCTTTCCAGCTAAATGCAACACAAATCCTCCACTTCAACTTCAATAACATCCCATAAAAACTTGTAATCCTTCAAAATAAGTTTCCAGAATACCATTAGTACAGGCCAAGATGAACTTTATTGAAGAACTTAATTCTTGACACTACACTCTTTGTCTTATTTTTGCTAATTCAGGCACAGCAATAAAACTTCTTTTTTACCTTTATGGAACAAACGGGAAATTTTTACTGTTTTTCTGTAGTAAAGTTCAAATCTTTTTTGAAATACAATTATGGACTAAAACCTATTTACTCAACAGATAGCTACGTATTTTCTTAAATCCTGTTTAACCTTTTCTTCTCTCTGTGCAGCTGACCCAGCACCAACATGCGATGGTTTGAGCCCACTGAGGACGATGTGGATCCAGGTCCGGAGACTAGCGGTGCTTCCTGGAGTTGCTGGCAGCAGGGATGGTCCTGCTGTTTTATTTCTTCTTATCTTCTCTTTTCTTCTCATCTTCTCTTTTCCCTTGAAAACTAACCTCGGGCTGTTTAAAATAGCAGGGTACATTTAATTATCAATAGCACTTCTATCTACTATCTCAGTTTTATTTATTTTTAAATCTTAACAGGATGGTGCATTTTTATTATTTTTATTATATTTCTTCCAGCTTTAGATCTTATGAGCAGGATATTTTTACATTTATTGCTGTAACATTTTCTCTGTTTGGACATTTTAATCTTAAAGGTATAGCGGAGGATGTTTCTGAATCTCAGGAAAGAACCACACTCTCCTCGTTTTGGAAAAAAAAATGTGCATGAGAAAGAACGCCCAGCTGTCCTCGTTACAAGTAGCTGCCGGCCTTGCGTCCAACCTCTTCTCCTAGCAGTAATCTGAAATGAATTTCTCCAAATAGTAAGCTGAACTTAAGCTCACCTGTCGAGCAGAAAACCAGCGACAGACACGTCTGTGGGGAGCCCAACCTTCCCTTTGCGCATGTGCAGGAAGTGAAAACTACCCAGCAACGTACGACAACGACCTTGCGTGAATGGTTCACCAGAGTTATTAACAGTTAAGCGGACCAATGGTTCAGATGATCCACCCGGAAGAAAAAGATCCTTTGCTATACCTTTAATTTCTCTCCAAAAGCTAAACTAAAATTCCTGAATCCAGATCTGCATCGTTACATTCTGAGAAAGGAAATGTTGAATTTGCTTAACTTGTTCCACTAAACCTGGTTGCTTAAATGTAAAAAGTAAAACACATGTTTATACGTTATTATGTTAAAAGTATACGTGTACTCTTTCAGTTAAAGCAAGTGGAACCAGTTGACATAACTCGGTTGAGTAAATTCAATATTTCGTTTCTTACAGTGTAAGTTCAGCCATCTGAAGCAGCTTTGCTGAAAATAGAGACAAATCAAACCAACCATGAGCTCCTTAGTTAAGATCAGACACAACAAAGTAAACAAGACGTACTATTGAGCCGAAACGCTCCAGCACTTGCTTCTTCAGCTCTGCGTTCCACTTTTTCAGAAGCTCATTGTCCCCTTGGAGATAACGGATGTCTAACAGCACTGCACTGAAAACACACAGACAAATTAAAAAAACTCATCTGATTCAGATGATTGTCGCATGTCTGCATGCATCACTTACTTTTCCTCCCTTCGTTTTTTCTCTATTGCTCTCCAAAGTCTGCGTTTGTCCTCTGAGATGACGTCCCCCAGACTCTCCCAGTGAAATTTATGGGTTGAAGGTTTCTGGGTCGGCACAAAACAGGAGTAAAATAATCTGAGTCACATACGGGAGCGAATCCATGCCAGTTTGTTTCTGATTCACCAAGTAAAAGCTCTGTTGCCCCCCCCCCCCCCCCCCCAACACATCTGCAGTTTTAGTTACCGTTTCTCTGCACGGTTGCGTCTTCTCGTCTCTCTGCAAGATGCTGGGGAGCTTCCCATCCTCCCACTCTGTACCACTGTCTTCAGTCACCGGGGTCTCAGTGTCAGCCTGAAGGCTGCACGCAGCTCCCATCTTTTCCTCCTCAGTGTGTAACTGCAGCTGGCTGATGTTAGGGACCAGTTCCTGAGCCTTACTGGGAACAGGGAGCTTCAAAGAAGCCATTTGAGGCTGTTTGCAGGAGGATGGAAAGAACCGCCTGGTGATCTCTGCGTCAATAGATAACGCTCTTTCTGCTAGCTGTGTCAAATCTTCTTCAATCATTTGCTCCATGGCCTTATACTTTCTGGCGTGAGCGATCGCAGCCTTCCTGCAGGAGTAAAACTCCAGACATAAATGTGTTAACAGAAACGGTGATGTAGTTCTGACTCACTTTCTCAACTCTACTCTGCGTTCAGCCTGCTCTTCTCTTCGTTTGAGTTTCTCAGACAAAATACGATCACGCCCTTTTGCCTCTTTCTGCTGTTTGGCGTAGAATAATTTGAGATTTCTCTCCTTGTTCTGTTGGCTGAAACACAAAGTTGTCCACATAAGAGTGTATTTTCTTTTTATATTACATGAATGCATGTGGTTGTATAAGAGAAACCCCCTCACCGGCTCAACAACTGCTTACGCTCCTCCCCGAGTTTTAGCTGCTCCATGCGTTTTGTGATTTGGACGTTTTCAACGACAGCCCTGCCTTTGTCACGTTGAATCTCAGCCAGTAGAGCCTACAGAGCCAAGAACGGGACTGAGGACTTTGTAGAAAAAGACTCAAAACCTCATAAGATCATTTTTGGACAAACCTGCTTTTTTGAAATAAGTTCTGTCAGCCGGGCTTTCTCGTCATAGCTGGACTGCATGCTCAGCTTAAACTCCTTTTCCACGTTGTCAATAAATGTCTTTCTCTCCTCAATACACCTCTTGAACTAGAATCAGAGCAGAAGTTAAAAGTTTTTTTTTAAAAATACTGAAATCAGAGACAGAAAGTGTGTGTGTGTGTGTGTGTGTGTGTGTGTGTGTGTGTGCGTGCGTGCGTGCGCGCGCACGTGTGTGTTTATGTGTGTGTGTGTGGTGCGTGCATGGGTTTGTGTGTATGTGTGTGTGTGTGGTGCGTGCATGGGTGTGTGTGTGTGTGTGCGCGCACACGTGTGTGTGGTGTGTGTGTGTGTGCGCGCGCACACGTGTGTGTGGTGTGTGTGTGTGGTGCGTGCGTGGGTGTGTGTGTGTGTGTGTGTGTGTTTGAGTTGTTTCTACTTCATTGTCGTAGTATGCTTTCAAGTCGTTCTCCTCCTTGGTCATTACATCAGAAAACATGGCCATTTTCTGTTGGTGATCTATCTGTTAGGAAAACGTTTGTCAGGTTTCGCTGTTTTTGCTTTCCAAAGACATTTCAAGGACACATCACATTGTTTTCCAGGCTTCTGGTCAAAAACTAAAGTACTCATCTGATGGTGAAAGCATCAAAAACACAAGGCATGCAGCTTGATCCGGGTTTGGACTTACCTCAGCTTTGATCACTTCATCCTTCCAAGCTTTTGTTTCTGTCTCAACCTCATCTTCAAATTCCTTAATTTTCAGGTCCAGCTCCTCAGCGTTCTTCCTCAGGTTCCTCAAATATTTTTTATCCTTCATCCTAAGCATCTGCTCAGAACGATGTGATCAAAGTGATGATTTCCAAAAGAAAAGAGACTTTTTAAATTCTTACTTTAAACAATAAAATTAGAAAACAGTTCGATTTATGGAGTAATAACAACTAGGGTCACCTCTTGGAGGGCTTCTATGACCTCCTGCTTGTCTTGCATAATTGAGATGCAGAGCTGATTTTGCTCGCGGACTAATTTCTTCTGCTCCTTACAAGTCACCTTGTCTTCAAATCTTTCACAGTCTCTCAGAAACTCCTGAAAACTTTCCTGGCTCCGCTTTACTTCGTTTTCTACTTCTAGCAGATTGATTCTGTTTCATAGAAAAGACGATTAGTCAGTGGGTGACAAAATAAAAAAGAGAATTGTTTCAGTTTGCTTTAGAGTGAAGAGAAATACCTGGGAAAACTCACCCATATTCTTGAGATACTAACAGTGGTGTCCTTTGCTGCTCTGAGATATCAGCTGCGACTTTTCTTCTGAACAAAAACACATTATAGGCCACAGAATTACATGGTTTAACCACTTAGACTGTTCACACCTGGACAAATTTAGTCTTTACTTGAAAAATAATCAAGAGTTTGTGATGAATAACACTTACGTATGCATTTTGTGAAACTTTTAAAAAAGGACATAATAACTGAGGCACATTAGAGCTTAGTCTGTTTATCAGTCTAGGTTGTTGAAACAGGAGGTTGAAACACACACACACACACACACACACACACACACACACACACACACACACACACACACACACACACACACACACACACACACACACACACACACACACACACACACACACTTTCTTTGTTCATGTGCTTTAATAAAGTGTTCAGCTGGCTATCTTTGTAAGTGCATATTTTTGTGCTCTAATGACTTTAACGTGAGTATTTTAGAAAATATGACATCACACAAAAACTACAACGTGAGCAAAAAACATTTTTATGCCTATTTGTGACACTCCAAGGCTGTGACAACTTACCCACAAAAACGGTCATCTGGACATAACACACAAAAAATGATTTGATTTTTTCATTTTTTGTACAGTTTTCAAACTTCTGGTTTTGATAATAAACCTGGCAATGAAGGGGTTAAATCTGAGAAACACACACATTTTATTATATTTTGTTAGGGCTGAAGCCAAGGATGAAATTCATGTAAAAAAATTGTGACTTATGAAATATTATATAATATTTCTATAGGAAGCTTTGTAAGTGCAGTTTTTTGTGCTCAACGGACTTAAACGTTAGAAAATGTAAACGTTGGGTAGGGTTAAGCTAATCTCCCGCTATTTTACCTGTTTATGTTTTCATTTGCGGAAGCCGAAGTTTGCTGCTGATCCATTTCTGGTTCCTCGTTAACTTCTTCCATATTGTCAAAATGTCAGGTAAGAGTAGACAGAAAACGTAAGAAAGTTACAACAGCTAGCTCAGCAGCTCCGTTTCCTAGTGGTCCTTCTCATTTACGTTGCTATGGTAACAGAGGAACCGAGAGCATCGAGTGGTGCCTTCAATGACCCTCGTAAACTTCGGGATTTTAAGTTTAAAGGTAATAAAGTCTTTGTTTTTACTGCATTTCAAGGTTTGCATTTTCAAAACACAAAACCGAGATTCCAAATGATAAAACAAAACATTCTGAAGAATGAAAACATGTCTTCTTTACTTGTATTTTAGTTGTCTGTGTTAAAGCCATCTTGGAAAAGTAAAAGTGACGCTCAGAACTACATGGACCACTGCTGTCCCCTAGCGACTATTTTAAGTTGCCAAAAGGCTCCAATTTACAGGTGGTGAGAAAAAGATGCACTGAGAACTGACGTAGTGAAAATTGCATATAGATTTCTAAAAAACGAAAATGCATTCATTTTAGGTTCATAATTTACACAGCGAAAAAGATACTGAAACGTTTGAGATTACTTCCTGTTTTGGATGGAAATGTACATGAAATGAATAGGACTAGATATCGAATAGAATATAGTAGACCTTATAGATCCCACAGTAGGGAAATTCACTTGTTATAGCAGCATAAACACTTAAGAGGATAATTTGAACAAAAAAGTAACAAAGGTACATGTATATACACATAGGCAGTAAGGTATTATTGTAACCTTTGACCACTAAAAACCATGAATAAAAAATGCCATGTGTCATAGCAAATGAACAGTTTATGAAAACAAGAATGTGCCTTTGTCATTCTAAACTTCTGAGAGGCATCTCAAGTTGAACATTGCTTAGAAATTAAAACACAATGACCTGCCTGCTAGTGTGATATTTCCTGATGGGTGGCGCTGTAACCCTGTGATCTGAACCTATCAGCCTCTACAGCACAAACCCAAAGACTCACATGTGCACAATTCAATCCACTTCACAAAAAACACACATCAGGGCTGTCAAACGTCTTCTCAAGCTGATGGCAAGATGGGAACAGGCTGGTCCGACACACAAATAAACTCCCCCATGGGTCAGATGTTCTTGCCCTGAAGCGCCCCCCGCCCCAGGGGGAATCTCACTGCTCTTTTGCCCTTGAGACGAGGGATGCGGCCATCAAATGGTTCTGACATATGATCCAGCATCTGTGATGTCACCAACAGCTGACTTGTCATAAGACCTTTGAGAGAGCGAGAAAGCTTATTGTCATCAGACCCATTGCTGGAACTTTGAGTGTTTTTTTTTACATCTGAGATTACAAACTGAATGACTGCTATTAGAGATTGATTCTATAATCCATCTAATAACATGAGCCAGCTGGGATTGGCAGACTTTGACCCTTAAGGTGTATAATACATCTCATTCACTCTGCATCTGTTCAGTAAGAGAGAGAGAGGCACACAGAGAGGGTGTGTGTGTGTTTCCAACCCTGCAGGGTAATATGTTTACTCCTTGTTCAGCAAAACAAAGCATCGTATTCATCACTTTGGGGTTGAGAAGGTGCATAATCTAAGCTTGACCTTTAGCCAGTTAGCTAACTGACAGCTTAGGGTGTTGTTGGGGGATTGCGTAACATTCTAAGGGCTAACAGTTTCTTAATTTTGCTCTAACGAACCACAAATTTGCTGCTTTAGAACACTGGATGTGCACGATGGCTGCAGAAAACAGCAGAAATAACAGGTTTATTGAAAAGGAAGCCTCGACCTTATCATAAAATAAAATAATAAACACACACACACACATATAGGAGATTTAGTACATGAAAACAGAAGGTTGGACTCACAAAAAGGACATGCAGTGAGTGTCCCTCCACTGCTTCAAACATGGCCTCGTCTCAAGGTGGCATGTGCAAAGTGAAGCATTAACATCCACCCATCCATCGTCTGAACCCGCTTTGTCCACCGGGGGGGCGGGGCGGGGGGGGGGGGGGGGGGGGGGGCTGGTGCCTATCTCCAGCAGTCAACGGGCAATCGGGCAGGGTACACCATGGACAGAGAGCCAGTCCATCGCAGGGCAACACAGAGACACACAGGACAAACACACACACACACACTTACACCTAAGGACAATTTAGACAGACCAATTAACCTAACAGTCATGTTTTTGGACGGTGGGAGGAAGTTGGAGTACCCGGAGAGAACCCACGCATGCACAGGGAGAACATGCTAACTCTGCAGAAAGATCCCAGGCCAGGAAGCAAACCCAGGACCTTTGTGCTGCAAGGCAACAGCTCTAACCACTGCGCAGCCTAATCTTTAACATTCCAACTTTAAATATCAAACATGCAAAAATGCAAATAGATGGGTTAAAGCACGGCAAAATAAAAATGTATTCACATCTTGTTGAAAATAAATTAACTTCAAGGCCTGTGCACAAGAGGCCTCTTAACCCTCTTTCGGTTTTCATGCATTTCTGTGTTTTATAAAAAAAGATTTGAGTCATCATGCTAAACACTGGTTGAGCTTTAGCTGTCACGCCTCAGCGTTCCCTCCTGAGCTGTGTGAAGTAAGCCAGCAAGTTAACACGGCTTCTGAGCTGAGAGCTGAGAAACAAAAGGAATGAAAGGTTTAATTAAATCAGTCATTTTACTTTTCATGAGTGTGCATTCAGAAATCTCTAAAATTAATTGATTTTATCAGCAACTACTCTATTTCAAGAAGGTTGTAGTTAATCACCAGCCAGTTCAATGCCCAGAAATGGCTGCAAAGTGTAGGTTGGAGAAAATGGCATTCAAAACAGAAGTTGTTTTAAAAATTGCATTTATTAGAAAAGGATGTGGCTCAGAACACTTTAAATTTACAGCAGAATTTCAGGATTGTGCAGAAAAACACAGAGTTAATGTTAAATTTGTAAAGCATGCTCAGCGTTTCTGCAGCTTGGTGCTGTTTTTGTTTTGCATGCTGGATTAAAGCAACCAAAAATCACACTCAGCACTTTCCCCCTCCTCTAGTAATCCATCTAAAACCAGGGGAAGTCAAAATCAGGAAATGAGTCATTTTTTTTCCTAAATCATATTAAGCTCTTTGACGACAATCGCCACACTTACAGAGGAGTTATTCTTATGGTCGGTGTTTTCTAATCAAAGCTCTTTGTGAGTGGCTTAGTTGTATAATATGCATGGCATTAGACAATAATTAGGTTTGGATTGTTTTCATTTTTTATGCACAAGAGTCAGTTTAGCAAGAAGTGTTGCTTCTATTGCAAATAAATTGTTCAGAATTAACAGAAAAGTTGATGTTTGATCATGTTTCAGTCAAAAAGTTTCATCCATTTATTTCAGTAGCAATAAGGATCATGCAAACATCCAATCAATACCTTATGTGAGTTGTTTATAAGAACCTACGTGTGACATTTACAGAACGAGAAGACAGCCTGCTGTTTGCTTCCTGCAGGACTGGGTGCTCAGTGGTAAAATGACAACAATTTCAAAAGTCCACTAATTCTTAATCTGGAGACTAAAGTCTATTCAATGAAGTATATTCTATTCTAAAACTGAGCAAATGCATTTAGAAATAAAAGATTCTGCAGTGTACTTTCTCCCCACACCAGCAAGTTGCAGTGTGGGGAGTGGCATGGCATACAGGAATTCACTCTTGGGGGTTAGGCCATCGATTTAGGCCTCCAAGGTGATGTTTTACATTTTTATTTCTTGCTTTCCTCTCATGTATTATATTGCTGTATGTTTTCAGGGTGGAACATTTTTTGTAGCTTATACTATCGATGCAAGAAATGGACTTTTTAGCAGCTGCCCACTGCAGTGACCCCAAAAGAAGGTAACAGCTGAGATCAAATTAATCTGGCATTATGCCTCATTCTTCCTTTGCTTTCTTAACTGACATCAGTTCTATGGTCAATAGAAAGCATGTTTATGAATTTATTTGCACCGATTCCCTCTCACATGAAGCCATTTCAACAGCTGTATTCATGACAATTTTCAGTACCTTCCAGAATGAGGGCTCTGTCCCTTTAAGAAAAAATCTGGAGGTGGACACGCCCCCTACCCACCTCATGCAGACTGCTATAAACTGAGAAGCACCGATATGTGGGAGGGGCTTGTAGTAGAGCTGCTGCGCCTCAAGAAGCAGCTCTTTTGCATGAGAGAAGTGGTTCTATTCTACTTTCCCAGTTTGTGACATCACAAATGGGGATCTTTTTGAAATGGTTTGTTTTAGGCACATAATTCCTAAAACCAAACACTTGCAGAAAACTGATGGATGGACTGTGTTTTTTTTAGGGACAGCATATTCAGAAAGTGAGTTTTGCTAAATGTTTACCCCTTAACCCTCCCATTCTTCTCAAATTGTGGCCAAATTTATTGAGGGTTTGAAAGCTATTCATTTTATTTATTCGTGTTTTTGTTTAACAGTAGAAACATATTAGAAGTCTGATTTCTACCTAAACCTTTACGTGATTTATGTATTTATTTAATTACTTTTGTCAGTTTGTGATGACTTGGTAAACTTTCGGACCCTCCCATTAATCAGGTACATAAGAAGCAAGCCAGGGGGAAGGTGGGGTTTTTGTTTGTCAGATGCCAGCCGGAGGTTTTAAATGATTTTTTGACCACTACAGAGACTTTATTACTTGGTTTAAGTTGGATTTCGTGGATTGCTGGATGATTTTGAGTTACAATTTTTGGAAGAAATAAACGGAATATATTTTCGAAGAACTGAAGTCTGGAGTGCGTACAAATCCTAAACCCACCAGTTGCCACCCACGGCCTTTTGTCTTTTGGATTATTTCGATTGGACGGTAAAAGGCCGCGACAACATCTTACGTCCCTCCAGAAAATGGTTTACATGCGATTGTTGACCAAATGTTTGCGTCATCCACTCTGTTAATTTATTGAATATGTAAGTAGCTACTTAATAGTTAAACTCAAGCGCCATCACCAGGCCACATCTAATTTAGAATAAATGTATCTTGAACAGTTTATGATCAAATCTTTTCAAATTATGCAGGAATTTTATACCTGTGCATGAACAAAGGTTCATACAGGTTTTCTGCTGAGTCAACCAGGAGTTAAGTCTCTTCACCAGTCCCCTCTGTCACGTGTCAGCTGAGGTTTTTCTTGACTTTCAGCCTCGCTTACATGTCTGGTGTGTCTTTGGGAAGCAGTTAGGGCTCAACAGGAATCAAAGCTGTCATTCTTGAGTGCACACGAGCAGCTCAACACACTTCTGTGCTGGAGTGCAAACGACAAAAGCCCATGTTTTTATCCGCACTGTTGGCAGCAGCTACCGGATCATATGACTCCTAATGACCCACTGTGGCTGTGGTCCATAAGACCAAGAAGCCAAAGAAGTTTAATGGATGTGTTGCAGCGATTTTTTTTTTGGGCCAAGTATCTTTAACCCATGTTTAGATTAGCTGCTAATGATTGAGGGAAAAGCCTCGTTGGAAGAAACTATGCCCCTGAGAAGAAACAGCATAATGTATTTCCTGAACAGTGAATATTCTGAATAGTATAAATCAAACTGGTATTTCCTCTTTTAATAACAGATTAAAGATTAAACTAGGCATATTATTGCATTTTGTTTCTTAAGTTATAGCTCTACAGTTGCACTAAACCCCTCGCACAAAGGGCTCTCAGCCATTTTATTCTTGGCAGTTTCAGTACCTTCCAGAATGTGCCATTTGAGGGCTCTGTCACTTTAAGAAAACAAGTTGGGGCTGGCCATGTCCACCCATCCCCCACTCAGGCTGCTATAAACTGAGAAGCTCTGATATCTGTGAGGAGCTCAGAGTAGAGCAGCTGCCCCTCCAGCTGCTCTACTCTTGCACATGAGGTGGTGTATTTTACTTTTGCCTTTTATGATGTCACAAAAAGGGACGGCTTGTTTAAGCACATAATTCCTAAAACTAAGAACTGACATTAAACAAACAGATGTTTTTTTTCATATTTGGAGGCTGTAGAGACCCATGGCAACACAAAAGGATGAAAAGGATGAGTTTTACATGATATGTACCCTTTAAAAATAAGCCAAATCATCTCTTTTTAGAACAATACTCAAATCATAACACCAGTTCTTACACCGTAGTGGTAACACAAAGTATTTATTTTGGCTTATGCATTCAAAATTAGGGTTTACATTGCTTCATCAGCTCACCACTCATCACACTTAAAGATTTTAGTCAGAACTCTTAACGAAGTACATTAAATATTAGTGAAGAAATTACAGCAGCAGCACATTAAAAGCTTTATGCAACCACAAAAAAAAAATAAATAAATAAAAGACAAGAAAACAGGTAACATCACAGTATGGTATTTTCGAGTGCTCTTACATTGTGTGTCTAATGTCTTTATTTGCTCCCCCAATGCACCGATGTGCTCCTCCACGCCTTACCCCTCCTTACAGCAGTTACATGTCACCACTAATGGACATCAAGTGCTTCCTTTTTGCAGCTCTCTCCAGGACATACACATTAGAGACAGAAAACCCATTTTCCCATCTATAAATAGTGCGCACACACACACACACACACACACACACACGCGCGCGCGCGCACGCACACACACACACACACACACACACACACAGCTTACAATCCAGATGCTCTACAGCGACAGTAGGATGCACTTAACAATCCAAAGATTGTTAACAAGTTAAAAATGAAGGAGAGGCCATCAGAAGATTTAAATGACAGAAATATTAACAACCACCTGATTAGGACAACAAATTACAGTGATTCCAGAAAATCTGGTTAACAGATATTAATTGTGATTATTAAATCCTTAAATAACTTAGCAAACATGTAAATAATGCATATTTCTGTTTGACGAGTCCTATTTTGTCCCAAATCAACCAATTCTTTGGGAAGCTTGACTAGTTCTTCCTTAAATATTGTCTTTGTCCTTTACGATATAGAAATCAGATGAATGTAAAAGTAAAATAGACAGCAAGATGGCGTTAAGATGCAACTTCTTCAGCTCTGTTTGTCCTGGATGTTCATCAGACCGGTGTAGGACTTCGCTCGATTGGCTGGAAAGAGAAAATAACACACTGCCAATATAAATGAAGTTTTACGCATAAAATAATACTTTAATTTTTGTTGTAAAGGATGTTTTACAAACTGAACAATAGTGAACATTTACACAAGAGCCACAAATATTAGGTTATTCACATTGTTCACCTCCACCTCTGATATAATAGATTGCTTTGTTTTTGCTTAAAGACCATCAAACAGTTGGTGCTGATCATCAATCTTTATTTCCAGATAAGAGTAGGTGCTCTGGCTGATGAAACACACGACTGGTTAATAATCTAAACTATTATTCACACTGGCACAAAGCACAAGCGCAGACCTGGAAGCAGTGGGAAGACTGCAGCTCTGTTAAACCTGATGAGTGCTACTTAGCTTGTGAAAAAGGGTTTACAGCATGTGAGATTTTGTGCACAAACAGAGCAAATCTACAAACAAACATGTTTCTTTTCAGCCCTGTAGCCATGTTGGTAATTATTTTGAACAACGTGTACTGATATTGCTTCTTAGGAATTTTTACTGATACGTTTATGTTGTTGTTCTGCCTTAATTATTAATAAAATTTGCCTTCCAAACCATTTAAATGTCTATTGAACTACATTTAAACTACTACTTGTTCGCTGAGAAAGCGTGTAACACTTGTGCTGTTGAAATACCATCGCTCAATCGGAGTTGCACGTGCGTGCTGAACACAAACATTTTCTTCAGCCCCTATCGCCTGCATTTGTTGCAGAAACGAAATAGACGAGAAAACGATCTAGTCAGAAAAAAACAGTTCCTTCTATGTCAAAGAGAAAATTTGTATTCATGGCCCCGCCCACAGGAGGCTGTGTTGATTCTATGACCAGAAGAAAGAGTATGTCTCAGTTAGTAGAAGCTAACCATTAGCAATAGCAGCTCCACAATATAGCGGAACACGTTTAAGATTGTGTTATTTGTGGAGATAAAACATCAACGTTGAATTTTCTTACTCAAGAGATGACAATGAACGACGCAACGGAAGAGCTGGGTTGCTAATCAGAGGGAATGCATTTGCATATCATGAATATTAATGAGCAAAATTAGCAATCCTGACGTTTTCTGTCCTCCGCTTCTCCGATTAGCTTCTGCTTCCTGAAACAGGAGCACCAGAGCTTTCCCCCACAGAAAACAACTCACAAGGCATTCATTCATACTATAAATAAAAAAAAAGTGTATGAGACCTTAAAAAATATTTTACCCCTTATAAACACTTCTGTACTTGCTCAATCAACTGAATACAGAAGATTTGTAATACTGTGGTGTACCCACGGTATTAAAGTCCACTAAAATATCTAATCAAAAAGTTTAAATGGAATTGTGTTGTTTTAGCAATTACATGCATAAATCTAAGCTTTGTTGCTTCAAAAATTCTGTAAAAAGTTGTATTAAAACAGCTAATTTAACATTTGAAGGATATTTGTTAGTATCATTTTATACTATTTGTGATATATTAGGGTAAAATAAACTTCTTCCGTACTCTTTAGATCATTCCATCAGGTAGATTTCAGTGTGTAAATGATAGTGTTTTCTACACAAAGACTAATAATGGGGTTCCCCACAGTTCTGTATTTGGACTAATAATATTCTTGTATGGTAAATGGACTGTAATGGCCTTCTCCCCTTCACGACGGGGAAGGCTGTTGTTGGTTTAATGTCTAGAAAACAGCAGAGAACATCTCGGCTAGCTAACTGTTAGCATTAGCAACTTCACCACACAGCAGAACTCTTCCAAGCATGTGTTTTTTATGGAGATAAAACATCAACGTTGCAAGTCAGCAGTGTAGTTGTATTGCTGTTAGCCATTTTGAAGCGAGATGTCCAAATATCAGGAAATAAGACTTTAAACCTGCCACCTAAAGCTCAGCTATGATGTGGCTCACTTCTAGCTCCTGGAGATGATGCACCAGTGTTGATTGCCTCATAAGTAGGACTTCCTACTAGAGACCACTTCAAATGTATTAATTAAATGAGTCTTGCACACCTTTAAGATGAAAAAGATAAATATAATGTCCTTACATTGCTCTCAGACTCAATTCTCTGGACATAAAAACACATTTAATATGGAAACAACAAAGTTCCAAAACAAAGTTTAAGAATCGATCAGTTACCCCGACCTTAAATAACTAATATATGCATGTGTCATCAGCATAACATTAAAACTACTTTGTGTTTCCTGATCTATTTTACATCGTTGAGCACCACCAGGCACTTGTTTATTCCACAGCACATCCTGAAAGTTCCTAAAATGCTTTTTTTTATTAGGCAAAAACAGCTTTAATAATTGTTCAGGGTCATTCACCCACGCAGATTCCAGTAAAAAAGCAATCCTTAAAACTTGTCAAAGATCCATCGCACGCCCTCCACCTCTGAATGGAGACCTAATACCTTTCAAAACCCTGTCAAACAAAAAAATCTCTCTTCGTGTGACAATGGGTGAATTAAGCTGGTTACTCACGGTGTATGAGCTTGCGTTTCTTTTGTTCGGAGTGCAGGAAGCTGCTCAAGTAGAAGACGATGGGCAAAAAGAGCATAAAGCTGAACACAGCAATGACAGGCACCGTCTCCTCTCGGGGTAAAAAACAGTTGAAGTTTTTACTCCAGAGTCTGCGGGTCATGTTCATCTGGAACAAGGGAACAGTTAAATCAATATGAAAGTGCATCGACAAGAATTTGCCATCAAAATAACTCAAAACAATCGTTTTAAAGGTCACGCATTTTCCTTTAACTGCTAGTTTAATGATTATGGTGCGATTTGGTATCATCTATAGCTGTTTTAACAGGACCAGAGCGTTTGCAAAACAGGATTCGCCGCGGCTCCCTGGGGAGGGTAAAGGTCGTTTATAAGATCAGACCGTGGCGGTAATGTGGCGCAATCGTGGCAATTTTATAAAAGATCAGGTGATGGTGGCATAAAGGGGGTGTGGGGGCGGTCTCTGCGCTGCTGCAGGCTTCCGTTTATCTTGGACATAACTTGCTTTTTATTGCGATTGAAGCCGTGATCGTTACGTTTGTTTTAACAAGCAGCTCCTAAAGGTGTCTGTCCCCATCGGTCCCTGTGCAGTCTCTGGTGATCTGAGCTTCAGCTCTAACAGAGAGGCTCGTGGAGCACTGCGGCGCTCCAGTCTGCCATCTCAGCTGATTTTGTTCAAAAAGCAAACCTTATTGCCGGTGTTTACTTTCATTTTCAATACAATTACCAGCCGGAGCTCAGCAATAACTCCCCCCGTCATCATGGCACCTGCCTCTGTTGCACCAGAGCGCATACGACAGACCATTACCGCAATATTACTACCAAGCGAGGCGGAACGAATGCCGCAAAATTCACGTTTATAGACATACCATTGCAGTAATATTACGCCGATTTGCCGGCATGGTGTGTCTTGTAAAAAGGGTATTTCTCTCTGACTTACATACCGCATCCTCCAAATCAATACACAAGGTGTGATTCAGCTCCTTTAGACTGTACAGATCATTCAGGTCCTTGTATGATTTTTTACAGTTTTTGCACAGCTCTGTAAGATTTCCCTGAAAGTGAGAAGTACAAAACCGCCGTCAGAGCTCATTTCAGAGAAACACATTAAAGGAACTTCAGTGGCACGCATCGGAGAGCCGGATCCTGGCATTACCTGTTTGTACTTCTCAAAACATGAGAGGGTTTGATTGAGAACATTCAAGAAGAACAGCGTGTCATTGGTTTGGCTCTGGAAGTCTTTGGAGAGACACTCTGCACAATGAGAATAAAAAGCAATCATCAGGTCAACAACTGAAAAGGCAGATGTTAGTAGTCTTGCTCAGTTTTACCTAAAAATGCACAGAATAACTAGCAGGAAGAAGAAAAACATCAAAGGTGAACAAAGATGATGCAGAAACATTTAACTAAGGACAATTATTTTCATTAGGGGTGCGTATTGTGAACTTCTGGCGATACGATACGTATCAGGATACACATTCAGCTGGATGATATTAGCAATTATCTTTGACTGAAATTATTGTTGGAAAATTCAATCAACAGTCCAAACTGATGCGTAACATGTCTAACATGAGGTACCAGAACCATAATAGAGGGATTTACATTTCAATGGTGGAAACAAAACACTTTGCACACTGCTGCCAACTAGTGGTCGGTGTTTGAATTGCACCAAAAGAAAAGAAAATACACAAATGTTAGCATGTAAATTATTCCAAATATTCGATACACGGCTTTTGAATGTCGATATAACGCAGGAAAACACTTCACCATACATAATCCCATATCGATATTTTCTTACATACCTAGCTTTTAATTTAGTCAATATGCAGTGCACCTCATGATGCTATTAATCCTTTTATATCAGGATTTTATTTCAGTCTGATAGCTAACATAATATTCTTAAGAACAGATTAGAGAAACCCAAAATGCACAGCATGAATTATATTATTCATGTATTAATGTCCTAAATCCTTTAATTCCTGTTTGACTGACAACATAACAGCCTCTCTTTTTTGTCTATTTCTCCATCCCACACTTTGCATCCATCCATCATCCCTTTCTGTCTCTTTCCCCTTTTCTCTCTCTGTCTCTTTCCCTCTGTCTCTCTCCGTCTCCCCCTGTCTCTCTCTCTCCCCCTTTTCTCTTTCCATCCTCCAACCCCCCCCCCCCCCCATCCCATCCCCCAGTCGTCTTTGGCTCTGCTAACATTATCTTTTCTTCCGCTGCTCTGCTGTCTCCTGTATCTAGCTCAAGTGAAATAAAAGCAATGCAATCAAAAAATGAATCAAAGCACAGAGAGACATAAGAATACACACTCTGATATTGAAAAAAAATATATGAATTTTTCAACATTTTGGTATCTGAAACAACGTTTTGCTTATTTGGTGAGGCTGTACTAAAATGTAAATAGCAAGTGTCCTTAGGTGAGACAACAATGTTCTTGTATTCTACCACTAACAGAAGTCAGTTCATACATTTAGCACACCTGTTCTATGAGAAACAGCTGGAAAGTTCAACCAATTAAATCCAGATGACATATTTGACTAGAATACATCAACACACTCTTAATGACAAAAACAGATTTGTCATTAACTGTTCAATCTAGTCTCAAAGGACTTACGAGCACAGTTGGAATTGTCCCAGATGTTTTCCACGTTGCTGTAGAGCAGGTAAACCAGCATCAGCCGATCACTGTGCAGAAGGCTGTCTCTGCAGCTCACATTACCAGGACCCATCTGTAGGAACACAGGCGCATCATTATGCCAAGTGTAGAATCTGGGAGGGTCTTCAAAGCAAATGTACATGATTCTATTCAACAATTTATAGAGGTTTACTTTATTTGTTTATTATCGGGATTCCCATTATCGTCAAAAAAAAAACATGGCAACAACTCTCCCTTTGGGTCCTTTTCCAAATCAGTTCACAAAAAGACAGAAACAAAATTATTAATAAGTTTGGATCACATTATATGACAACTCTGAGAAATACTTTTATCATTCATGTATATTTGGCTTTCTGCCATTTACCAGAATCTACACAAGATGTTATTTTATCATAATGGAGAAGACTATTAAAAACAACCATGTTGCAGCTTTGTATTGTATTTCAGATACCCGCAATGTTTGCTCTAGATATGTTGTAGCTCCCAAATAACACAGTCAGTATAGCCTTAGTCTACATATTAGAACAGTCTCTGCATATATACATATGTCTCGCTTCGGACATAAACGTCTGCTAAATACAAAAACATCTATTTTAAACTTATAACAATATTACAAGCACACGTTATTACTTTAGATATATTTCATTTCCACTCTCACCAGTAAAAATGGTATTTGACTAAGAGGAGATATGTTTCATATCAAAAAAGTGATTACAGGCAAAAGGTGTTTGATTATATTTCACAACGGTTTACCACACCTTAATATCGTTCAGCTGAACAACTCAGACATAAAACATGGCTGAAGGCTGTGTGAGGAGTTCTCTCATTTCTCACAGTCACATCACAAAACTCGTGACTGACTAGATTTCTAAACACACACACACACACACGCGCACACACACACAACGAGAGGGGGATGGGGGGGAGGGGGGGGGGGATGTGTGTGTACCTGGTCTGATGAGATGTTCTGGTAGATTTGGACCAGGCTGCTGTAACCAGAGTAGCACTTCTGGCATACTTTCACGGGTCGAGCAGCAGGTATCAGGCAGCTCATGTACGCCACATATCGCTGGCCGAGCACCAGAAGCAGGTCGTTACAGTACTCACTGATTTCTACGTCTTCTGGGAACGAGGACAGCAGACTCAGCGGGTAAACGGAGTCCACAATAGGCTTAAACACAGAAGGGGAGTTAACCAAAACAGAAACCTGTGTGAGTTTTCCCGACGAATCAAGGGCGGTGACGTTTAATCCATCGCTAGCAACAAAAGCGTGGATATTTATTACTAAAAGTACAAAAAACACAAAGATACTGTGCGACGACATGATAAAAAACTCGGTTTGAAGTACTTCTGCTTTGGTCGTGAACCCAAACAACCCATGACTTCCGGAATTCAGCCACCATGATCATGTGACAGTAATGGTAATATCGCGAGAGCGCTACCGTGAGACTTTCGTCTCAACTTAAAAGGCAGTTTCACAATAAATCATTTTAAAACAAGAATTAGATTCATATTAACACTGACTTTTGTTTATTTTTCCTCAGTTTTTTGTCAGTATTAATAGTTAAAATTTTAAACAATAAAGCACTGTTGAAATATACACTTTTATGCAATTTACATTAAACATTACAGTTTTTGCAGAATAAAATGATGAGAAAACGGACTTAGGAAATTTTCTAATCTACGACTGTCTATATATTCTATCCATATTGTTGTGATGGTCAGTGCCTGCAGCTTCAGTGAGGCTTGTAAACGAAGCCCTTCCTCGTTATTTGCAGGTTCTTGACACCATGCAATTTTGCTATGCCCTCTGCACGTTGCAAATAATCAAGGAGTCAAGGTAAACGATCTGGGCTCCAATCCTGATTGAGATAATTGTCAAAAACCTCCTCGAATCAAGCAACCGCAGTCAATGGTCGTTAATGTGAAATTAGTGGCTCTTGATAACTTGCACTCCGCATCAATTCCGCAGTCATCAGAGCCTAATGAAAATAAGCAGGGAGAGGATGCTTGCTGCATTCATGGCCCACTCTGATGCCCGCGTTTATCTCTCCTGGTAATTCAGGCCCTTGGTGCTCCTCTTGCTGCACGTGACACCAGCTGCTCATTAACTCTGCTTCTCCTGACCAGAGTTCACCTAATTGTTCAGATGTTCTTCACTCCTTTTACTCTTTTCCAGCGTGGCTGTGATTGCAACCTAAACTCTTAAAAATCTTTGCTGTTTTGTTACGTAGACTTAAAAATAATGCATAGATCATTAAAAGTTTATATTCAATAGTTTTTTTCTTTATATTTCACGTGTCTTTTCTTGTCCTGTCCTAATCAGATCACTCAAGATTCTCATCACAGTTTAAGATGACCATAACATGTCTTCATTAGCATGAAGAAGAACCAGGAGGACAAAAATCACTAATTAAGTCCATAAATTAGAGTGTGTGATGATGAGAGCTCTTCAGGAGCTCTGCCCAAGATGGTCCTCGTGATTTTGGAGCATAATGTACAGTTATCATGCAAAATCTGCAGGAAAATGTAATGATTTAAGGGGGGACTAACAGGCTTAAGTTCCCATTAAGTCTTAAATTTGCATAACTGACAGTAGAATGGAGGAGAAGCGGCAGATGTTTGAGGAAATTAACAAAAATCATCACAAGAAAACAATTTTTTTATCAAAATAAAGCATGCACGTATGCATAACAACCATTTTGAAGAACTGATGCTGACCATGAGATTTACTTTCTGCCACAAATAATAACTTTTTACATTTCAAGCAAATCTTTTACATAAAAAATCTAGAAAAGTGGATAAATGACTAGATTTAATGTAATACAACTGAAATAATTTTGCTTTAATGTGATTCAATTTCCAGTAATCTCCCAATTAAAATGTTTCACTTCATGCAGGATATGCAGGATACACATTTTTGGAGATTTTGAGGGTTGTAGGCCTCCAAAGCTTGTTAAATTGTCATGCACGTGTAGCTTATAAACATAAGCATTTTCAATGCATTTTTTTTGCTTAATATTTTGACTTGATCAGACTTTACAAGTTGGTTGTTTTCTGCTAAGAGATGGTGGTACAACCTTGTGAAGCTGGACAATCCCTGAAGGGTTAATTCCAACTCATTTTAAACTTGGCTCTTGGCGTGGGGAAAGAAAATAGCTGTAAAGTTATGCAGAAGTTATTCTTCATCCTCTGGGCCGTCCCTAATCCGCCAAAAACCTCATTCATTCACCAGAGAACTGTGCCTCCTTTCTTATCCCTACTTCTCTATACAGCATAAAGTCAGACTGCATTTAATGGTTATGTCGGGATGGGAGAGGTGCTTTCTTCTTCCCTCTTTTCTCCAGAATTTTGCCCTTTTCGTCGTGTGAGTCTCCCAACCCGCAGGGACCCCCATATTCTTCCCTCCGCGTCTGACTCGCATCACAAACTAACCCCGATTTTCACCACTTTGCTGGGAATTGCAGGGAGTGATAATAGAGATTTCGCTTTCATTTTATACGCTTGACTTAGTTATTGTTGCTTTTCTCCTCTCCCTTGATTCTCCCCTTTTCCAGGGATTAGCCCTGACTTCGCCCAGCTACACTGGCCTCCGAAGTGCCCCTGAGCTGCGGGATGACAATTGATGCAGATCAAGGCGGGTTTATTCTGCATCCCTTTCAAAGGAGCAGAGCTGAGTTGCGTTGAAATGGAGTTTTAATTGAGGCACCGGATACTCTTCAGGCCTCCCTCAATGCATTCAGGTTTGGTTTCTAGTCTGATGTTGACGTAGACCCTGCACACACGTAGTCAGGTACCCCATAAAACAAAGATATCTGTCAACGTTTGGACATAAGACATATGTCACACATAAAAAAAGATTCTTTCAGAAACCTTCCACCAAACTGGAGATTAGCAAATTCTCTTTTGTCAACATTTTACAGTGGACGTTAACAACCAAGGTTTTAGGTTTTGCAACGTCACTGCTTGCAACAGAAATTCTCTGACATCGTGTGCAAACTGTGTTTACACACACTCTCTTGTTTTACTGCTCAATGTAGAAGACCACGGGTGAAGGACGATGTTAAAGACATCTTTTTGGGAAACACGCAGGTGATTAGGGGAAGTACTGCCACTTGGCTTGCTTCACAATGCACTGGGTTCTTCTGCTGAAAAGTGAGGATCCATGATTTTTCCTAGATGGGTGGGGAAGACATCCTGTTTTCTGTTCTACGTATAGACATGACCTTTAAGGGAAGGTTCAGATGTTTGAAGTGTTTATTTCCCACAGAAGTCCATCCATCCATTTTCATCCACTTATCTGGAGTCGGGTTGTGGGGAAAGCAGCCTAAGCAGAGAGGCCCAGACTTCCCTCTCCCCAGCTACTTGGCCCAACTCCTCTAGGGGAATCCAAAGGTGTTCCCTGGCCACCTCTCCCCAGTCAGAGGCACAGTCCCTCCAGCTTGTCCTGGGTTTTCCCTTGGGTCTCCTCCTAGTAGGACGTGCCTGAAAAACTTCACCAGTGAGGCGTCCAGGAGGCATCAGATACCTGAGCCACATCAACTGGCTCCTCCAGAGCCGCAGAAGCCAAACCTATTAATCCTATCAAGAGAGGCTAACTCAGCTTTAACCCTCTCAGGCTCAAAATAAGTTCTGATAAAAGGACGAACAACTAAGTCCTTCAGGGGAACTTCTGAGTTAAAAAATGCTCATGAAGTACGTTTGTGGAGTATCCAGGTAGGTAGGTTTTAACTGCTGCAAATCTGCAACGCCTGCCTCCAGAGATGTACAGTTGGATGTCATCTGCATAAAGATGGTAGGAGATTCCTTTGAAGGAGCTCAGGATGTGCTGAAGAGCAAGCAGATAGAGGAGGAAGAGCAGAGGCCCCAGCACAGAACCTTGTGGGACACCATGGGAAAGAGAGGTGGTGGAGGACCTAAACTTGGAGACGGCCACAGAAAAGGGGCGCTCAGAGAGATAAGAGGAGAACCACTCCAGAGCAGATCCTGATAGGCCTACCCAGTCTCTCAGCCTCTCCAGTAGCAGGTGATGGTCAACAGTGTCAAAGGCTGCAGTCAGGTCCAGCAGGACCAGAACAGAACAGTCTCCTGCATCACTCTGAGTCAGAAGGTCATTAGAGACCCTAAGAAGAGCTGTTTCAGTAGAATGAGCTCTACGAAAACCTGACTGGAAGCTATCATAGATGTTCTGTTCATCAAGAGCAGCTGTGAGTTGTTTAGCCACAACCTTTTCCAAGATCTTGGAGATGAACGGAAGTTTAGAGATGGGTCTGAAGCTGCTATGGAGAGAGGGGTCAAGACTCGTTTTTCTAAGAAGCGGGTGGATTACAGCGTTCTTAAAGTAAGCAGGAACCTGACCAGAAACCAGAGAAGCATTAATTATAGAGAGCATGCTGGGACAGATGGACTGAGAAACACTTTTAAACAAAGATGAGGGTAAGATGTGGAGAGGGCATGCAGAGGTCTTCATAGAGTTAACTAGTTTGGTTAACTCAGGCAAAGAAACAGGAGCAAAGCTATCTAGGATGATGGGCCTGGTTGGAGTCGGGAGAGGCAGCGATAAGACTGAAGGAGAGATGCTAGATCTAACCTTATTGACTTTGTCCACAAAGAAAGACAGAACGTTCTCACAGTCTGCAACAGAGTGGATGGAGGCTGTAGGAGAGGCAGGAGAGACGATGCTGCTGATGGTGTTAAACAGCACCTTGGGGTTCCCTTTGCTCTGGGACACCAGGTTGGAGAAATAGGAAACCCTCGCGTCTCTGACTGCAGAGTTAAAGGATGTCAGAAGATCCTTTAGGTGCAGCAGATGGACGTGGAGATGAGTTTTCTTCCACAAACGCTCACTTTTTCTGCATTGGTGCTTCAGGCTGCGAAGGCTGTCATTAAACCAGGGAGTAGGGTTCACTGCAGGAACTGATCTGGTTCTGACAGGACAGAAGTTGTCCAGAATGGAGAGGCAGTGCTCGTTAAACTGAGAAGTTAAGGAATCTGGGTCGTTATCAGAAGAACAGGGTGGATCAAAAGCAGCAGAAAAATTGCTAGCTGTGCTCTCATTAAGAAAACGAGAACTAACCAGACGGCGAGCAGGAGGTGGGGACGCAGAAACTGACAAGTTAAAGAAAATGCAATGGTGATCTGAAATATAAACGTCCTCAGGACAAACACTGTCAGCATTTAGACTCAGGTTAAAAATAGGGTCTAGAGTGTGCCCCCTGGTGTGTGTGGGGCCAGAAACATGCTGGGTAAAGCCAAAGGAGTCCATAAGGCTGGAGAATTTCATGGCAAAGTGATCAGAGAGATCATCAACGTGTATGTTAAAGTCACCAACAATCACCAGTCTGGACAGCTTCACAGTGGAGGATAGAAAGTCACTAAACTCCTGAAGGACAGAACTGTTTGGACCAGGTGGA